ATTAAAACACCATACAAAGTACTGAACATTCAGGATTAGATATTTAGTTTTTAATACACTGGTATTAATTGTTCTGAAGCATAATTTGCTCTTGATCTTCATGCAAACTGCATACAGGTGATATTTAACCCTTTAACCCCTAAGAGTGAGTAGCATCTAATTTCTCCATATAATATCACCCCCGAATCAAACATTAGGGTCATGAGAATAAATGAAATGATCACCAACTAAAGACGCTCTACATTGCTAACCAAATTCTCCTTGTCAGCACCTTAAGAAATGGTTAGAGAACAGTATGGAGAATATGCATACTGATGTTAAGGTTTAAAGGGTAAAGGAATTCCTTATGCCAGGTTGAGAAATGTATGACATGTTAGAAAATTTTTATCGTATACTTTCTAGATATGTTTGAATTGTCAAGGTTGAGAATATTTTTGTAGTGTGCATCTGATATCTTTTTTAACAGTGTCAGAAAATGAATTCTCTTAACTGTCACAATGAAGGTCATTAGTTTTCTGTCAGGGAGAATTTGGTCACTGATCACATTTCTTGGCATTACAGTCATAACTCCTGTTGTCAAAGTTCAAAATAAATCGTCCATTGTGTCTTCTGGAATGCTTGTGTGAATTGAAGGGATTACTCATAATACACTTAGTGAAAATTATTCACTTACCACTCTTCATAAGAAAATGCGAACAATTTACATCACTCAAAAGGTGACACGTTACCTTCGTTTTTTTTTTTGAGTTCATTACTGGGAAAGGATAATACAGTATTGATGCCTCTTAATTTAACAACTAGTTTTGTGTAGCCAGCTCGGATTCCTAGGTAACTGTTGTTCTTACTTTACTGAGACTTTACTATTCTCTAGACCAAGAAAGAGTATTTCTAATTAAATTAGGGTAATTAATGCCTTAATATTGTTCAATGACCAATTTAAAGAGGTTTTCAGGATATGTGTATTTCAATGTGTGATAGTTGTATAAAATTATTGCTATTATTAACATTAAGTTATTCTTTGTTAAATTATCTTGGAATCTTGTTATGTAGAATTTCAGAGGTCATTAAATTTTTGACAGTTGGTGCTTGTTGTTCTCGGAATGTTTGCTGATTACAGAATAACATTCCTTTGTTATCTTTTTTTGTGTTTTTGTTCTTTGAATCTAGGCCTGCACTTGAGGGTTGTGATTAAGGGCCTAACTTTTTGATTCCCAACATCTGATTTATTTTGTTTTGGCAGCCATCAGTTTGTGTGTCAATTGGTTGAAAGAATCTGTTTCTACGTTAACAGAATACCCCATAGTTGATTAGTTTAGTCATATCATAACTGACGTGTTGTACAATGTGTGCTAATATATGTGAATCACCTCTGAGAAATGAATGGTTGAAACCCCTTAAATACGTTTCTAAAAAAGGGTAGCATAGGTGGTTTCTGATCCCTTTCACGCACAAATTCTAGGCAAAAGCAGGCTCAGCTAGCCCTCAAAAAGAGATTTCAAGTGGTCACAGGATCAAAAAACGCGCAGCTTTTTTGAGCTAACATGATGAAGCGCTGCCTTCAAAAGGCACCCGACCAAGAAAGCGGATCCTTTTCTGAATCGATTTTTGGATTTTGGAGATCTTTGTTTTTCACTGTAATTGGCATCTCGAAGTTACCGTTACTGCAAAGTTTACCGCGGCGCTCTTCCAAGTAATAGGGGAAATACGGCGCACTTGTATTAAGTGTTGACGTCATAGCGAATTTGGACCTGCTAGATGGGAGGGGAGGGAGAAGGATTTTTTATGTCTTTTGGATAGTTTCAAAGGTTTGTGTGGTCTTATGGTGCATCTGAACTTTAAAGCATTTTTCAAGCACACAAATAGATTGAAGTATTAACTCTTCTCACATTATATATACTTTATTTATTTTTAGAGGCGTTGTCATAATTTCCAATTATTGGAAGCAGTTGACAAGAAAATGATTGTCAGCAAGAAGGGAGAAATGCGAAGAAGATCTTGAGAGTTACTGAAAGGGTGTCTGTCAGTCACTGTTTGAATTACTTATCCTTCTTGGGAGGCCAGAAAAAACCCAGATTCCTTCTCCCACCGTCTGTGGTTTTAAACACGTACGACCGTGACTCAAGCGAACGCGTCAGCTACAGAAATAGCGCAATTTCCAGAGTAAATCCCCTGAATAGGAACTCAAGATACTCATGTACATGCGTGTGTATTAAGGATCGTCCCTGAGATCGTTCTATCTGCACACCCCATGTACCTATACCCCACCCCCTTTGACCAGCTCCCAAGGCGAATACCTTTTGACGCCATCCAAAATACTTTCATTATTACAAAAAAGTACCGTTCCCTTTTAAGTCGAGTCTACGTCGACAAAGTGGGTGGTTGTTTGAACTGTGAATGAATTGCATAAAGATTTGGATTACGTCACGTCTACATCTGCGCCTTTAGGTCCCAATGAAATATTAACCTAGTGAATGCCTATGAAACTACGTATTAAATGCGGACTTATTATTCAGCCAGTGGTTGTGTTTGAAATAAAAGGGGCGCTATTAGCCAACCGTATTTCGCAAGCGAGGAACTTTTAGGTATTTCGTTATTGTCCGGCAAATAACACCGAACTGAAGACCTTTGATTCTGTTTTCATCTCGTATAGGAGTGATAAATGCGTCTCCTCTAGCGTCGCACCAGTTAATTCCCACCCCCCTGTTGTTTGTTTGGCTTGGGAAAAAGCTCGTAACTTTTACCTCCCTCGTCGCCAGTATTGTGAAATAAGAGCGCCAACCATTCTACCTTGCCAACTACAAAGTTACTGGAAACAAAACCTTCGAGCCTTTTGGCTGGGAAATATTTCAGAAATGATGAAACGATTAATCTTCACAAAATCAGCACATTTTACACACCTTTTGACGAGTTGATAATGGAACATTGTGAACGTGTCCAACGCGTAATCAGAAGCAAGGATGTGTTTTCAATTTCAGTCATGGTCAATGAGGACCAGATCCCTTCACTTTCCTATCACTTCGAAAAACTGAAGAAGTCACAATCTGATTGCATGAGCCTGAAATTAACAGCATCCATAGATGTTCACATTAATTTTGTTTAAAAGTTTCTTGTTTCACCCAAAATTTGCCTTTGAAATTCTGGAGAAGCAACAGAAAGCTACATTGAAGAGCACGTGAAGTTTGAAATTCGTCGGCGTTTTGCCGGGTAACAAAAAAAACAAAACAAAACAAAAACAGCTAGTCGGCATCTTCTGTATCCCACGGAGTTGCGGATTTGGCTGTTTGGAATTCGCACGTATCTGTTAAATTTTTGGAAAATAACTCTTCGCCATTTTTATCCCCTCGTGTTTGTTAGTGTGACTTAATTTTCCGCTCGTTTACAGAGTGAGCATTTATCCGAGTGGAATGATTGCTTTTACAGCCCTCGACATGTTTATAAAACCTTAAAAGCTCGTTAGAAATGTGTGAAACACGTTAAGGTATGCCCCGCCTACTATGTGGAATAAATCAGTAACCATTCCCACACGCAACCTACGATTGAAATAAAGAAGTAAGAAAAGGGGAAAAAAAGGGACATTGCGTGCGTTCAAGTAATGTTCATGATGCTATTTGGAACAGCACGCCAGATGCATCATTTTCCGTTTTGTGTTACTCTACGGATTTCCAGCTTGATAACCTTTCGATATAAAAGGAAATATAGATGATGTGGTTTCCTCTTCAATGTACTGTAATTGTTGCGGTTTTTTTACAGTCACTAAGCGTTTGGAAAAGAGTACAAAGCTGCCTTGCAGATCGCGGGGCTGTCTGTAGCCGAGATGGCAATCTGTCGACCCCCTGGAAAATCGGAGATAACTAAATTAGTTTGTATTGCTTGCCGCTGATAAATCAAGCGTCAACTCATGATTGCCACCCACCTATGAATGACATAGACTGTTCTCAGGAAGTGAGCTCATAGCCCAAAACTAACCAAAAGAGACCGAGCCGAGATTAACTCTCAACTTAATTCTTTTGTTTTAATTAATGACAGATTTAAAAAAATTTTTAATACCCAAGAAAACTCCCTTGTTCGAGTTCCAATGAAGCGCAACACAGAAAGCTAGTTGTATGAGCTCTTGTCTGATGAAATAGCGTTACTTTGTCACGCAATCTAGTATCCGGATTTTTCGATGTTTCATTTCATGTGATGATCTTGTCTCAATTACATTAATTTTTACCTTTTTTTGGTTAGGAAAGTGATACTTTAATGATTTTATGCCCACAAGAGTTCGCAAACATCCGATCATAAACAAACAATTTATACGCCTCCTGAAGGAAAACCTTTCTGCTCAGTTCTCTTTTTTCTCAAAACAGGAATGATTGATAATACTCAGCCGACGAGGCCACCAAGAAACCACTGAGACAAATCGCATTTTGTTTGGCACGTGGGATGAGATCCGTAATCTTTGTTTAGGGATTCCGCTTTCCCCTGCGACCCCAAAATGTAAGATTATCCTATGCCGAACACCAACGTTACACTGCAGACAGACAATACTGGAGAAAATATTCTGCAGACGAGATAACTACCAGATATGCATACCATTAGACAGTAAAAATCAAGTGGTGTATAAACGATGGAATAACATGCCCGTAACAGGTCGAGTCATCAGTAACTGCACGCCGAATTAGCTAGCCACGCGTACCATTTGAACTCTAACAGACAAATGCGTCAGAACTGTGGTATTCTTGGAAAACCGGAAATTTGTAAGGACCTTGGAATGCGAAGTATACTTCCTCAATTCGTTATATAGTTATTTTCCCACGCTCTCGGACAAAGAGGATAACATTGCTCATATGCGCTCGACCAAAAAATTTGACCTCCATTTGTATTGCTGTCACCTATTGCTAAATATCTTCACGTTAACCACAAAGGATCGCATGATAACACAAGGCTAAAAGTTTTGAATAGAAACTAAAATATTATGAAACAGAAATCAGGTAAACAAATAACAAAGCAGTTTACTTGTCTGCTTCACAAAATTTGTTCGACAAAATGCTAAAATCGTACTCACTGTTCCAAAAATATGCAAGATCAGAATAAAATCACCCTCTTGACAAATGTTGATGCGGCATTTACAGATACAGAATGCCTCAGCTGTGGTAGCGGTGTTCTGTTACAGTATTATCATAAAATAAACCTAAGTATAGACGCGGTTCCTGTTAGAGAGGAAGTGTAATCGACTTTTCGAATAAAGAAATCTAATTACAAACTCAAGTCGGTATGACTTCAACCAAGCGCACAAAGGAATATTTATGAGAAAACGACAATTAGTCATTCACTACCTCAAAAATGAAGCTAACAACGTCCCTGGAACTTACGTAAGTTTACAAAGCAGGTTTTAAGTCAATCCTGAACATTTGATATTTAATAACTGTTGGCTGGCAAAGCAAAGTTTACCGAGCTAGTTCCTTAAACGATCAACACCTCAACTCTCTCTACATCACAGTATAATAATACAACCAAAGAAATTTACGTAATAAAATCACACCTCAACCATTTAAACAAGACTTCTAAGCCCTAATGGTGAGAAATGTTCATTGCAAAAGGGTTTTTTCTACTCATAAACACTATTGTAGATACCCTATGTAAACGCTACAACTAAATCATACGATACTTTCGACAGAGTTTTCTACTCTCCAAATTTCACCAAAGCCGAAAGCGGCTAACCAGTGTTTTACACAGTAAAAATGGGTATCGAGAATTTTGTTTGAAAAGCTAAACTTAGCTAACATTCTTTTTGTAACCCTGATCAAGCAAAACTTATGTCCCAAAGGACCTTGAAACGAAATCCAAGCTGATCACGACGTTAATTTATGGAAATCTATCGGATTTTTCCCGCGTTTACGCAATATATATGCAAATATATATCCATTCATTCAAAAATACTGCATCAAAAATAGTATTTTAAGACCGCAAAACTATGATCGCTTAGAAAACTGTTACTTTAGGGGAGGAATATTTCCTCTTTCCCTGATGATTTGACAATCAGACGAAATTCGGCATTGAGACAACGAAAATATTTGGCACCTTCTACGCGAAAGATTTGTTTCTACACGATAGAAAACCTACAGGTATAAAATTCGATCGGAAGCTAACTGAAATTTCTACACAGCGAGTATACTTGAAAAAACATTTTCCTTTCATATTAATATATATCTATAACTTATATACAATCTTTTTCTACGTAATGATATTTGGTAAAAGACGAATGAAAATAGCGATGAGTAAACAAAAAGTTATTTTCGTTTCTGCCCAAGAGCATAGAACCGGTCCAAAAGATCCTCGTTTTTCCGTCGTTCTTTCGCAAGTTCTGCCTGCAATCGCATTTCGTCCTTTTTTAGTTTATCGACATAGTCTTTTGCTTTCCTCAAGATCGTAACTTTTGGAGCTCTTTCATTGTCTTTTATATCAGGAACCTCTTCCCTGAGAATGTGAAAGCTTGTCTTGAGATCATTCCTTCGCTTCCGCTCGAGAACATTGTGGGTTGCTCTCTTACTGAGATCACCTTCTTCGTCCGAGGTTGAACTGTTCTGCCGTTTAAAATCTTTTTTGTTCTCTTTTGAAGGGCTTGAAGCAGGGACTACCGCTTTAGGTTTCATCGCAACAGGTTTAATGCGTTTTGCCGGCGGTTCATCTGTAACTTGTGGAAGCCGCTTTCGCTTTGGTTTCTCGATGGTCACTACGTCTATTTCCTCTTCTGTTGCCAAACAGAAAAAAATTAAAAATTAGCTTCGATTAGCAGAAGGCTAAGACATTTGGATTTCGACTGTGTACGATCTGCTCTACTATACAACAAATCGTCAATTATGATTACCAATTACCAGAACAGGAAATTGAAAGCACATCGTGAATAAGACAACTAACCTGAATCGCTCGAATTGTGGGATCCACACAAGTTTTGATGTGATTCGTTTATAGGATAGGGAAATACCGTTGAAGGATCAACACAATCAGAGCTTACATATTCCACTGGCGGAGGAGTAGCACACGGAGTCTCGAAAGGAAGGTCGTCCGTATTCAAAGAAGCGGCGAGGACTTTAACATCTAACGCACTCTCATAGTTGGAGCCGTTCCACATGCAGTCCTGAATGAGTTTGGACTTCAGACTATTAAGAGAAATTTCAACGGTCGCCGAGGGTGCAGGTGAACAACTGTCCTCGTCTAAAATATCTGACACTATCTGCAGAGTGTCAGCAACCGAGCAGTACTCATCTTCGTATGAATGAAAACTGACTGGCGTATGTGGAGGTGATCGAGACGGAGAACGAGGTGGTGTCGGTAGTAGTTCAAACTTTTTCCAAATGTCATGAGATGGGACAGGAGAGCTGTAGCCTTCATTTCCATGCTCATCTTTTTCTGAATGAATCAGAAAGTACGACGCATCCGGGTCGTTTTCCAGTGCAAAAGATTTGCACAAGGACTCGACTTGTACAGCCATTCTACAACGAAAGGATCAAAACGGAAATGAGTTCACATTTGAATCACTACGACCACTTCAACAAATGATTAACGACCGAATGTATAAATAATATCTCGTTCAAAAGTGCGCTGACAGCGCAATGTAACCAAATCAAAGTCTCAGGTCGTTAAAAGTAGCAGCTTAAGTCAGCCGATTTCTACTTATTTTCGAATAAGGGAGCCATTTAAATCTACTTTAAAGATCGTCTAATGAATGAATGAACTTGGTACAGAAGACGCACGGCTCCAAATTACGAACACTCAATCGAAAGTTTGTTGGACCACTTTACCTCATGAAATTCTGGGAGACTGCAGTTGTGCAGTTCAAGTGCCTGGAGGATTCCTGTCAAGGTATTCCAACGGCCACTAGTCCGAATTTCTGCGGCTGTGAAAAAGGACGGGGCGTACGCGGAAAGCAAATTTCAATTCTCCTGCGTTCTTTGTAGAATATTTTATCAACAACCAGAACCAATCAGAAAGTGTGACTAATTAACGTTGCCATAACAACGTCATGAACTCCACGTGACTATTCTTCAAGAAGAGAGTTTTACATGCGTAAAATTTCTCTCCAGAATCACTCATTTAAATCGAAAGTATTTGTTCCGCGTTGTGCATTACCGAGCCTGATTTACTGGTATCAAGATAACAGGTTTGGTAAGTGCAGCCAATCTCAATATCAGAGGCCAAAAATATGTCTTGTTTATGTTTTTAACGGGCTTTCAAAAATTCCCCAGAGCCCGTGTACTTTAAACAAAAGCATAGCACTTTCAGAATAATGATACTGATGCTTGCAATTTTTTAAGAACTATTGTCGAGTTAACTCAGAAAGATATTTCCTAATATTTGCTGATGCTTCCTGATAAAACCACTTTGGTTTCAATAAAAATAAATGGGAGGTAGCTAGTTCGTGACGCAATCGCATGCAACCCTTAAGCCGTTTTAATTTAAGATTCTTGTGAAAAAACCAGTGTATGAATAAGAACCCAAAGCACACCTGTCGAGACGGCAAGGTTTTATTTAAGTTTTTGAGTTTGAGGATTAAAATATTGTTATCCAAAGAATAGGCTATTTTTTATCATCAATCAGCCGGAAACAACAGTGATTGCACTCAACGATAAGCACTCCTTGGTCAGCTAAAATTAACCAATTCCTTTGGTCTTGATGCATTTTATTCTTGGGGGTAGCGTTTACATGTTGATTTTATTTACTATTTGGTTTAAACAGAATGTTTGTCATTCCAGATTCACTAATTCGATCAATTTATTATGGGGTTCGAACTTAACGATGCATTGGAGCGATACATTAATTACAAGATTTAGCGAATAATCAACAATAGGTGCAAAAGGGATTTACTGCATAACCCTTCCCGCATTACATTACAAGGACCTGGGCAATTTAGCGATGCAATTATCAACTCTCTAACAATATTTACTTGTAAGATTTCGCTGCCTTAGTATTCGAGTATCACCGGAACTACCACCCAAGGACTTTTTTCCCCGCGAAAGGAGTTTGATTGATTGACAAGGTCGTCAGTTCAACTTTGACAATAATAATTTACTGTTGGTGTTTCATAGGAAGAAAGCAAGGGGTGACATAGGTCATTTAAGCGATATTCACAAGCCACTAAACATGCAAGTTAGGGAAATTGTGCTAGACGCAAGATGCATGAAGGCATCCAGAATTTGAGGGTTTGAAAATTTATCAAGTACTATTGCGCAATAACTAAGGGTCAACCTTTTGATTGTTAGCGCGTAATGTGAGACCTGTTAGAGGTTTGTTATTCAAAAATGCTTATGTTTCCTAAAACTTGAGACTGCGTTTGACCACCCACGGACCTGTGGGGCGAGATGATAAGCTCTTGTTTTTATTTACACTTCAATCAATGCTGAGTAAAGGGCAAAAAACCGCGATTAATAGGAACTTTCCTGTTCATTCTATTAACAAACTGTTTAGTTCAAAAAATACTTGTTTGCACTCAACGGCTTAAAGTATTCAGTTAATTGGTCCCTTAGGTTCTTGCGAAATACGGAAAAAAATATTACTCAAGAGGACAAATCAGGTTCAATGTTTAGAGTGTCAGGATTAGATTTTCAAGTCGTAAGATTTGACATGGGCCACTCAGTTGCTGATCAAATAGATCAAATGAAAGTACTTTGAAGACTACTATGTACTTGATGAATCGCCAGTTGTACCAAGTAAGTACAGCGTGCTAAATAGAAGACGGTTCTAAGACGGTTTGTTCAGTATTATGACTATAGGTCTCGCTTACAAATGTGATATTGTTGTGGTCTAAATACACGTAAAAAGGCTATTGTTGATTCACGCTGCGTCAGTTTAGAAGAAAACCTCTCTCGAAAACACTTAAAACTCAAAAATTCTTGACAAATGAAGAAACTACCCTCCTTGGAAGCCTGTTGTGATAGACTGAGCCCTTATTTCGGACTACAATGAATTCGTGACAACTTAGTCGATGTTGTTTGAAATCACGTAGCTCTTTTTCATAGTATGTGACCTCATTTAGCTCTGGAATGTAAACTATTAAGTATTTTGCAATGAAACAAAATTAAACGCGATTTGATTAATCTATCACCGGTCAAAGTATTATTTTCGTGTACCTTCTTCATCAGAAACCAGCCACGCCGAGGGAGGAAGGAGCTACTACCCACAGGAAATGCAGTCAGAGCGCTGCAAGAACATTTGGTCAAGTGAAAGTTGGTTAACTTAATTTTTAAAAGCTTGTAACAATTTATAAATACTTAAATCGCACATTTGCTGACCGCAAACAAATAAAATCACAATGGAATATTCGCTAAGCTAAAATAATAAAAAGTTCGGTTGGTGAAAGCTTCCGACCGGATAAACAGCTTGACAATATTATCGCAAAAGATCAGAAATCGTTTTGTTAGTCCGTAGTAAAAAAATTCTTTCGTTTCCTTCAGCAGTCACGTTTACGAAAAAAACAAGTCTCAATTATGTTGCTCTTTAGTCTGTTCGCTCATTTTTCACTTCAGTGATCCGACTGAACGCATCACAAAGATAACATTTTAGTCCCCCCTTAGTTCCACTTGACACGATATGATCGATCAAAAGTCACTGTCTGTGATATTTCAGCAGTTCTCTGCTCTTTCTCTGTGATTTCGGATGTTTCCAGTGCATATTTAGTTTGCGTGCATACAGGGGAAAGCATTTAGGAGCTCGGCATCTTTCTTATCAAAACTTGACCTCTGCTGTCATGCCGAGCACTTGAAAGCAATGTACTCATATATTTATAAATACCCTCACTTGATACTACGCGAGAAGCATTTTCCCCCGACCAATCAACACTAATTGGGAACATAACTGGTGGTATCTTATGTTATGTCGATGATATTTTTCGGCGTTCCGGTGAATCTGAGTGTATTTTGGCTTTGCATGCGTGCCAAGTAGACTTCGAACCGATACCCCCCAGGGAAATATTGAGATGGAGACTGAATTGACGCAGGATCTTTTGTGAAACTGGACTTGTGTTGCATCCGCTCTCATTGACAGGTGGTTCCACGTGGGCAACTTTCCCGCCGTCTGCGAATGCTTGTCCTTGCATGACATTTCTAGAAAGCCGAATTCAACTAATCACTTGAACACAAGTACTTGGTTTGGACATATTGGCGTCAATCTTTAACAAGGACTCGAACTGTACAAAGCCACGTTACTGATCTTCGAAAATTAGTGACCACTTATGACGTCGATACTTGCCGCCCGTAACTCTGATTAGCAACAACAAAGTCTAATATCTAAAGTACTATAATCGACTGATCTCCCAATACGAAACATATTAATCTTCATAAGAAGAGTATGATCTATTAATGAGTTCTGAGGATTCTAACATTTCTTCGTTAATAAGCCGTGTAATAATCTTGTACAAGCTTGAAAACGGGACAAGATTCCTGAGTATGCAGTGGCAACTACTTCACGCATTAAAAATAGACACTACTTGCCAGACGCCTGACGCATGCAGACATTTCCGTTAACACGCTATATTGATTTCGATACAAAATGAAAACAGCAATGTCGAAACGGAAATAACTAAACTTCATTGAGTCCGATACGTGTTCAAAGCATCCTCCAAAAGATCACCTTTGACAAGTTTGCCTGAATTCAATTTCCTTCCATTCGAGTACCTTTGGGCAAAAATATCATTGCCATGGTTGGATTCCGCATGCAAGGCGGAAGGAAGAGAAAATGAATGAAAAGAAGAAACAGACGCAACTTAAATCACTCCTCCAAACTTGAACTGATAGCAAAGCCAATAGAAGTTAATGCGGTTTGGTTAGACTTTAAAAGGGCGTTCTTTGGTTTTTGATAACAATCATGAGATGATGTTAAAGTTTGTTGCTGTTTTTAATTTTTTTTTTTCAGATCGCTTTGTTAACTGGATACTAATTGGAATAAAGCCTTTTTCACTTTCATACACTCAAATACTATTTAGCTTTTAACAAAGTGTTATTGATCTGTGACAATCAGTTAAGTCTGCAACTTTGAGTAGCGTGTCTTTAAAACAAATTCGATTGTATTGTCAGTCACAATTTTGTCTAAATAAGCAAATATATGCGTTTAATTTGTTTCCAAAAATAAAGATAACAGTTAAGATCACGGTTCAGAATCTAGTCCTACACACGTTTACTCATATGTGGCTTTAAAATTAAGGTTTGTACTCTACAAAGAAAATAAATTAAATCAAGTTGAGATGAATTTTAAAGATCGTGGAACACGAAAGGAGAAATTTCGTCAGAGTAAGAAAGCCCTGATATGAAACTTCATTCGTTCAACTGAGAACATTTTGCTCTATGAAAATTTTCATTATCTGCGTCAGAAAAATGCATCATTGTCTTACAAGTAAGAAGGAGAAGTAACATACGATCCGAACTATAAGTTGAATTTAGTTATGGACGAAAATGAAATTTCACCCATTTACGAAATACCTTTTAAGCAAGATGTTTAAGACATCGTGGGATGGAAAATTAAAATGCAATCGTTAATGTAAAATGTGACGCTACACTTCAACTCGACAATCCGTCAAAAAAGACATCATATTTGGTAAGAGTCATCCAAAGAAGTTTGTTTGGTTTTCTTCGTTTAAGGATAAAGTTTACTTTGAGTCGTTACGTCAGCAAACGCCGAAAACGACACAATGGAACTTTGGGTCGTTTTTGGTGATTCCCCCCAAATTAAGCATGGAATAGTTATGGTTATGAAAAAACAAAAGCTTTACCTCAATAAATCTGAAGTGGCACCAGTCAAGACCTCTCGTTAGGTATCCTCGTAAATCACTTACTCTGATACTCCAATCCGGTGTACTGTCCGACTGACTGATGTACGTACGCCTTATTATTAATGTCAATCAAAAGAAATCTTAGTCACGGTTCAGTTGTTGTTTACATGTAAATGCTTCCACCTTTGTTTATTTTGGTTCACCAAATGGAGGTTTTCGCTTTTAATCCGCTGGTTCCCTCAACCAATATCGAAGTCAAACTTTTTGTTAATCTTATCTAAACAAGATATAATAGTTTTCACTGTGATGTTTTGTGTGAACGACTAGACAATCTTTATATATACAACCTTTATCTTCAAGAAGTCACAGACATCGGAAAGAACGTATTAAAATCGAGACAAGGCAGGACAGGAAAGTTTGGTGATGAAAGCAAACCGACATTTTACTCAACCAGAAGGTCAACACCAATAACATTTACATTCCTAAAAGATGTCGAGCAGCAGTTGTACAAGAAATGAAAATTAACTATAAGAAGTAAACGATAAACACTCTCCTATTAAAAGTGAAGCTATTTAAAGTCCATTTCTGGGCGTCTGCCCACTAATTCTCTTTAATTTCGTGAAACTGCATTGCGTGCAGCCTCATGCTAGATCTACATGCAATTTGTTTGACTTGCCTTTTTCGCAAAGGGGGAGGCTAAAGTCTGTTTGCGTAAGTAAGTTTTGTCTATTGAGGTCTTCGCGCGTGTACACGTTTCTTATTACAGTATGACGTCATACCAACCTCCATTTTCCAGTTTTATTTCGTTTTCTAGTTTTCTGTTTGTCCTTCTGCTACCATTGGACAAAGCAACTTCCCTTTCGTTCCACTTTTCAGATTTTCTTACCAGTTTCGAGTGATGAATTTGAGCTCTTAGCAGGAAGATTGTTTATTTTTGGCATTAGATGGCGTTAATGGATTTGTGTTTCACCAAGCTTCAAAGAAACCGGCTAATTCCGCGGAACATCACGAAAGAACGTGCCTTAACAAGGACAAAGGAACTCATCTTGAAAGATCTTCCTACGCCTTCTACAGCCTACTGTGTCTTCAAGTCTTTTCCTTTCCTGTAATCGCATAAGCGGGAATAGCAAACGAGTTGCAATAATTCTGGAGAGGCCAAACATTAAGGTTTTCTTTCAGTTTAGATGCCCGCCACCTCTTCAAACTGTCTGCTGCCTTAGTAAACAGGAAGGCTTCTCAAAGTGTTAAGAATTCTCGTAAATTTGATTATGTTTCGTTTTGAGTGGCTAGCGAGCCGAATTTTCGCTTTATGAATGGAAAATGAAAGTTTTGAACTGTTTTCTAATTTACAACATAGCAACTATCGGGATGTCTCTCAAAATGTGAAAAAACGGAAAAGGGTGTGATAAAAACAGCTGTCTGTATTAGAATCAGCAAGGGAGGCCAGGTGCCTCGCGTTTAAAACCGTGAAAAGCTTTTATTTTCTGTTCAAAATTCACTTAGGAGGGTGAGTAAACGTGAGGTAGACAGACATTAGTTTGGTTCTTGCGCCTCTTGAGTTTGCCGCACTTTTTCCTTTCCGTTTCGGTCACGTGTTGGCGAGAGATAGCCACAAAGACCTCACATGAACGGCGGACACACAGAACGCCTAATTAAATTCCCCAATTAAAAGTCTTTCTTTGGTAAAACGTTCGATTTGTTCACAGTAAGTTGCCGACTAGTCGTGGTTACTGAAATCTTGGAACGAGTGACCGTGATCTTGGTATCCGGCGTGAAATTTCACACTTGACCTCTCCATTCCCATTCATAGCCGCTGTAACTTAGCGGAAACTTCCCTCATGAACAGCAACCCAACTGATATTACAACATAATAGAAAGCAAAAGTTCTCCCGCTTACCAAAGAGCGCCAAATTAAGGCACTCTACCATCAACAACGTCACAGTACCTCTTGAGAAAAGAAGTCGAAAGTTGGAAGACCACTGATACAAAAAGTTGAACATATATTCTTTGAGGGAGTGACAAGAAGACGTTGAACATTGCACAATTTAGTTCACACTGTTTTTCTGAAGTAAGCAAGTCTGGAAAAAGATAGTTATACCTAAGTTACAATTTTCAGTAACCTTGTAAGATACAAAACTAAATTAATTAAGGATGCACACTAGTTTCACAGAAAAATTGAACAAAATATACTCGTATTTCATACAAAAATTCACAAATCTTGAAACACTTCAATAACTACTTATTCACATTCTAAATATTATTAATAATGGTATTCCTACAAGCTTGTAGTTTTAATGAATCTTGAATAAGAAAAAAACCACAGTGTTGTTCTGTACACAGGACTGTCACTTGACTCCAAATGGGTACAAAAAGTTCTAGCATTTTTAACTTTAAAGCTTATCGTCTACTCAATTTGTATCGGGCGGTTTTTTAATGACAAGAAGCAACAAACAAAAACAAAAGTTACCAGTTGTTGACAAACAAAACGCTGTAAACCAGAGCTAATCAGAAAAAAAAGGTTTCCAAACGTGTGTCAATGGCAATGAAGTACCAAGAACAAACTGTGCAATTCGCTTAGAAAAAAAAAACGGCCGCAGCCAAAACATAACCACTATAGCGTTATTTTTACCTTTAAATTGCTTCTTAGGTTAATTTTACTTCCAGAGTCATTTGAAAACCGCTCTAACATAATTCCATATACTTTGAAATACTGCAATTAAGAACTAGTCATCTCTGTTTCAGTTGTCACGCAATACTCTTTCCAAAGGAGGAGTATTGCGTGACGAGTTACAACTGATACTCCGGGCGAGGAAGACTAAGCTTTATTACCTCTACGCTGAAGAACATATCTTGACGTAAAGGAACAAATTAACTTTGTTTTAACGAATCTCAAACATAAGAATCAAGTTCAGTTGCTAATAACTTAGTGTTCCTCGAAATCACCTTTAAAAAAACTGTGACAGTGCTACTCTAATTAATAATCAAAATAAAAGTTCATACGCCGCAAATAAGACAACTCGCCACGATGATTTACAAAGTCAAATGATGGCCGAAACTCTTTCCATTCATCAATTATCATTTATTTTTACACAAACGATACGAGTTATAAACAAAGGGCATGTGGGTGACAATTCTTAAATACCGCTAATTTCTTATACCATGGACATTTCAAGTCATCCCACACGAAGCAAAAACTTAGGACGGAAGGTTAGTATAGAAACCACACCTTTTCCACTACGTAAAGTAGTGAACTTTCGATTGAATATCTGTTTCCTTAACTCCCATTCGCTGATTTCAAACTAAGTTAGTTCTGAGAAGTTGGTGTTTCATCAGGGCAATTTCCCAGAGTTGATTTTCTTAGGTCACAATGCTTGTAGGTTCGATAACGCTGGTAGAAGTTGCAAATAGAACGAGGTGGACTGTAATATTAAAGTACTGGGGAGTCAAAAGGTTTCTTCTCAAACACTGCTCTGCTACATATTTTTCCAAAATTGCCGACCTATTACCCAAAAAAAGGCACTGTGATGTATTGTGACACGTTACATGTAGCGTATCTCATTAGAATCTATAAGTACTCGAATGTCACAATACATCACAAGCACTGCAAAATCCAGTTGGTTCTACCTTACATAAAAAGCGACAAGGATTTCGAAAAGGTGTTCACATGTGAGAGTTTGGAGTCGTGCTAAAGAGAGGGAAAGGTCGCTCCATCTTCATCCCCTGCTCTCCATGTCGAATTAAGAGCAATTTTCGCTCGAGTGTCGAAAGTAATCCTAGATTGCCTTACTATAAACAGTGATTGGTCAAGAGAAATCCCCACACCCTCTCAAGGCGTGGGAACAAATCACTAATTGACCACTCACGTTTGTTTGTTTTAACTTGACTTCTCATTGGCCCTTTGATATTCTCCATCGTTTTGATTGGCCAGTGTAATAATTAGGTTTTTGGTTTTACGACACTCAACTGAAATTCGCTCTAATTTCACTAGTTATAGTTACTCTTTCCGATTTGTTTTAATTATCAAGCAATGTTTAGACACGTATTACAAAAAGGTCAGCGGTCGGAATTACTCTTACGTTACATCCCCTCATAGAGTAGAGCAGTGCCCATGAACCTTTAAAGTTTCCGGTCTATTCCATTCTACCTGGTTAGTTCATGGTATAAGTAGAATTTGAACTTCCATCGAATGTTCCTAACGGTTGAATGCACCTTGTGTTTCTTTGTGCTATAGACTTTTTTAAACGAGGAGACCTCTAATGGCCTTTGGCGTCGTTTCGTCGTTCAAGTGTTTTGTGCTATACCTGAAAGATGAGGAGAGGCATTCGGCATAGGTATTTCACAGAACTTGCTAGGGTTATAGACTATTTTATAACATGGCAGCTGAAAATTACGGCCACAAAAACATAACTGCAAAGGAAATTCATACCAGCTTCTGAACAGCAGCCATTGTTTGATACTCTTACCGTGTCAATTAGGCACCATCATTTCCGCTGAGAAAATGTTATTTTAAATGGAAAAACTAATAAAACATAGGACATACATCTACATTTGACAATTTCAGAATTTAAGCTGTTTGATAACTCGAAGGAGACGAATTTCGATCGCCATTCAGACAAGTTTCAATTGTTATATAGAGGCCAAAGTAGCAGTAATTTTCTGTTCGCACACAATTGATCTAGAGAAATTAAAAACGCGTAAGATAAAATAAAAAGTCCACTTAAAAAGGATAATAATTTTTTTCGTATTTTTTTCCGTTGTTAGGCAAGAAATGAAGAATTGTTAAATCCAGGAGAGACTTCGAGTATTTGGTCACTTGGATTTTACGAATCTAAAAAAATCACTGGCGTTCATTTCTTACCTCAAAGCGTTTAGTAAGCCATCTACGGTTCCTTGAGGTTGATCTTTTAACACTTTTATCGACGCTTTTATCTTAAGAAAGAAAGCAAAGTGAGAGATAAATTCACATCCATCCTGTACACAACAACAGGTGCCTTAATGGTCTTAATGACGTCAGGAGTAGCACTTGACGCAAATCAGTTCTCTGATGCCTCTTAGCTGAGCAAAAATCTCCCTCTGTCTCATGAATTTGGAAAAGATGCATCAATGCAAGTAGATATTGGAAAAATTGGAGGACGTTTGTGCCCATAAAGTATAACTAACATGTAAAAGAATGAGAGGGGATAATCAACATATGCAGTTTTGCGACAGGGTTACAAGTAATTTAGAAAGGTAACACTTGAGTATGAATGGATAAGGAGAGAGAGACTGAGGTAATGTAGAAATGCCAGAATACTTACATCTATATTTGATGTTTTTGCAAAAGCTCCTACAGGATGTACATGATCATACAGAATTATAAGACCAACCTAAAAGAGAAACACAACTTATGGTTAATTACACAGCACAGTGTTTGCAGTACACACATTTTTGAGTGAGTCTTATCAATATCTATTTCAAAAGAGTGTCTTATTAATAATATTGTCTATTTTAAAAAGGCTCACAAATCGTGCAGTTCTTGCTCTCATTCTGGGAATCTATTTACCTTTGTCCACTTTCAAGTCTTTACAGCTCACTGCTTTTGAAATTCACAATGCAGACTTGAGAAATTTAATTGAAGTGCTTCCAGATTTTTAATGACAATACTTCAGACTTGGTTGATGAAAATCTCTTCTAATTTGTGTTTGGCAGGAAATATGTTAGAATCATCTTGGGATCAAGTTGTTAATTGCCCACAAAGGGAGAACTGTACAAGAAAGATGGTGGGTTCCTGTTTTTCCCCTGATAATGTAAGTCTGTTTACATTCAAACTATGTGGCTCACCCTGCCACAGCTTTTAACAGTTTCTGAACAATGAGACACCTGGATGAGATGGAGCTTGCCCACACCCAAACTTTCATGTGCAGGTTAACCCTTATATCCAGCTGCAGATCCTCAGATCCAGCTGCAATGGTTGCCAGTTTGAAATCTATGTCAGTATAGGCAAGGACTCATGATGACATACCATAACACGGAGACAAAAAAGATGTGTTTCCTGGTTTGCAACTTTAGAAGAAAAATTCCTACAAAACATAAATGTAACAGATAAATAAATTTGTAAAGAATAATTAAACTATTTTTAAAACTCAGCCTCCATGGCCTTAAACTATAAACTCCCAAATCTGACCCAATTTATCCTTCCTATATGCCATACATTTCCTGTTACTTGGTTTGGAGAATTTGATATTATGACAAGAAATGTCATCCAGATGATAATCGTGCTTGTTCTTCTCGGCTTCCTTCTGGATAATACATTGATATGGGAGGAAGTTACAAGTTTGTCACTTTAGGACTCAAAGGGCTCATATTGATAAAGAAGATCAGTCTAACAGCACTACCCATAACTTAGGGGTTAACTTATTTTGCTTTATCCCTCCAATAAACATTGATTTTCCAAGATCCACAAATAACTCACAATATTATTTACCAAACAATTTGGTGAATGCTTGAAAACAAGAAGACCACTTGAAATCTCTAACCCTTTGAGTCCCACTAGTGACCTACACACAGTTTCTCCTAACAATATCAGTACAGTATCAAGCAGACAAGTAAAGAGAATAAAGAAAAATATCAATTAGAGGATTATTGGTTGATCCAATTCCAAATTCTCCAAACTAACATCATATGAATTGCATGGTAGACAGTAAGGAGAATTACTGATGAGATCTTGGGAGTTAAAGGGTTAATCTCTTAGGGAGAAGACCACAATACTTACGGATTCTCTATCATAGTTCTGCATAAATTTGCTAACGTGCTAAGGCAGTCTGTTGTATTTTCTATAGGAAGGCTTTTGTTCTGGGAATAAGATAAGAAAAATGAGTCAAATCACTGACTACCTCACTTTCAGTACTACAAGCTCACATTTGCCCAGAACCTAACATATCTGGGGAAGCCCAAAGTACTGTTAAAAGTTGAGGGGGTTATAGTTTTCAAAAGGCTTCCTCTTAAGGGGTAAATATTTGAGGGAAAACATTTCTGAAAAAGACTGAGCCTGAGGTCAGAGGAGAATTTTTATTAAAAAAAGTTAATGTAATGATCTTAATAATGGTGTATTCCCTTCAAACGGTACAGCAAATGTATATTGTATACATTGAAAATGGAATATTGTAAAGGAGCTAAATGGAACCACTTCCAAACTGCATGGCTGCAATTCCAGGAAAATCTGCATAATCAATGACATGTTTCACCAGATCTCAAATGCTCCAACATAAAATGGTTAAGAGATGTTTATAAGGCAAATTTCTTATGTAGGCTTCTGAGGGCTTATAAACATAAGTGATTTGTTTTTGGGGGGGGGAGAGGTTTAAGGCTTTTATCGGAATTTGGCATCAAGTAGCAAAGGGCTAAGGGTGTGGTCAAATATGTGGGAGATGACAGAAGTTGTTGTACAATCGGCCTTCGAGAAAAGCGCCATGACTGTGGTAAGGAATACCTAAAAAGGGTTGCTTCTCAAATGTACATTGCTGTCACATTCTACAGCAAAAATCAATAACAGCCACCACCTTGAGCTTAAGTTCTTGTGGGTCATTTTGTTGGATGCTAAGAATAGCTTCAGGAAGGTGATTCCATACAAAACATATATCAAAGATTACTTTTAAAGTTTTGTGAAACATTTAATAGGAGCCCCTAGTTTACCTCTGTCACAAACTTTGATGTGGCATCACTAAGAATTTTCAGAAGTGGTGTGGGGTAAGCATAAAATAAAGACATTCTATTTGCCATTTCATTGGTCACTTGAATTCCTTCACTATCATCATCCTGCAATCAAAATTTCAATATGCCACAAATTTGATGAGATCAAAAAGTTCACTTCTTCATCATTTCCACAGACATAAGATATCCAAGTTCTGAGAAAAAAATGAAATTTCCTTGGCCAAATACACACAAAATGTAACATACAGAAGCCACCTCTCAGTTCCCCAAACAGTTTCCCTTTCTACTTCTGATAAATTAATTAAAGAAAACCATGGAAAGTATCTGAATGACAGTCTTTCCAACTGCCTTCTTCAAGAGCAAAACCATCAAGATTAATGCAATGAAAAGTGGTTGTTCCAGCTTCCAATTTTATTAATTTCCTTAATATTTACAGGTCAGGTAGAGTCCAGGTCAGTAGATTCACTCCAGAAGACCTTTCCAACTGCAGTTGGCTAAGGGATAGCATGAACTAATGCAATTTTTCTGTGATAATCAGTTACTTACAGTAACCTGACAACATCACAACTTCAACATAAAGGGCCTGAGTGGTTCAGTACCCTTGTTGGAAGCAAAGGCTTGGCTTACAAGAAAAATTTTTAAAGGTCTTTCACAAGTTTCTGATCAGTGACCCTGTCAGTTTGATTCAGATTAAAGAATGACTTGAGCGCAGACTTGAGCGCAGACTTGACTAGGCTAATTATCAATTTTGCAGCAACCAACTTTGTGGTGCCCATGCGTAAAAACAGACCCTTTCTGGTATTTTCATGTGAAACTCACCGCATTTGCCATTTTCCTTCTACTCAGTGTTCTTCTGTAGTAACTAAAGTCATTTTGAATAGATGGATTTGTCATCTGCAATCATTGGAGAAATTAAGAGTATTTTAATTAATATAGAGCAAGTTCATTGCCACAATAAGAATATACATCCTTTTCCTCAGGCAAATAAAGAAATAAACAAACAAAAAATGCTTAACATAAAAGACACTAGTTTGTTGCTGATCTTCACTGTACTTAATAATTTGACCATGACCTTCCTCTAGAGTACAGTTAATTTTAAGGGAGCAAAAACACATAGGCAGTACCTTTAAGTCATCAAATTTCAGTGTGAAGTGAAGAATTTCAGCAAACTGTTTTGCAAGGGCCTGTAATAACAAGAAAAATAAATTACATGCTGGCTGAAATGTTCAAAATCAATTGCATTCATTTCACAGAACTTTTAAATGGCCATATCTGGTTAAGAAGCATTATCAATATAACAATAAGTTATTTCACAACATCATTATGAGTAGGACAATGATTCCATTGTATCATGTATCATATTTTTCTGATTATTGAAAGATTAAAAATGCACAAAACTAACAACAAGTTTTCCACCATCTATTCTTTTGTTGTGGTGTGTTGTTGGGTAAAACACTCTTCTCATACAGTGCCTCTTTCTGACCAAGTGTGTTTTATTAATCGATGGATGAACAGTATGAGAAAGGGTGTTATACCCTGCTTGACCAGATAACCCTGAGAAATTTACCCCAATCGAGAGAAAAAAATTTTGTCATTGCTACCAAAAGAAAGGGCTGTTCAAGTTGATGCACTCATCACATCTTAGAGAATTTGATTTGCAGACAATCTTCTGCTAAACATCAATTTTTTATTTCTCTGGCCTATATGTTTTGATCATTTGATGTATTTGTATACTACTTTGGGAAGCCTTTTTTCCTTAAATAAAACCGTTGCACCCTTAAAAGAATAGGTGTTATATACATCTCTTCTTTCCTTACAACAGCCACCTCAACAGCCACTTTCCCACATGGGGCTTCTTTCTTCTGTTCCCAAGGTGTAATGTTTGTACATATTGGTGTAAGGTCTTGTTTGAATTTAGTTTGAGTTTTTTCCTTACCTGTTGCCGTTCTAGATGTTCTATAGGAGTCTCAGGTCCAGAACAAAGAGCATATAGAAGCTGGGGAAGAACAGCCTCTGTGAAAAAAACAAAAAATAAATAAAACATGCAAAAATTTGAAATACCAAGTTTTTAACTACCGTATTTATTCGGCTATAAGCCGAGACCCTAAACTTTTTCATGTCAGCAGCTGTTGCATTGAAATAAAAAATAAACACAAAACATTCGGCTATAAGCCGAGACCTAATAATTGCAAAGTACTCCACGCGTGTCGTTAACTGAGATGAATTAACATAAACCGAAAACAAAAGGAGCTTCCCTCTCGGGAAACATACAACCAAAAAGTAGGTTATGAATAAACATATTCATTAAGGTAAGTCTTTCGTTTCTTTCAAACAATGAAAAGCTTCGATCAGCTGATATCTGTCAGATAGTGTTGCAATGTTTACACAAACCGTGGGAATGACCGCTTCTGATTGGCCAGTTTTTCATGTTGTCAAAACAAGTCAAATGATTTATCTCTTTTACCTTTTACAGGAATTGCTGTAAGCGGATTAATTCTACGGTTAAAGCGAAGGAGTTGAGCAATGATCCAGACTTCGGCTTATAGTCGAATAAACATTGAATTTCGAATCTTGTTAAGCACCCGTAAATTTTTTTTGGCGAAAATACTCGGCTATAAGCCGAACCCCCTACCTTGGCGAGAATTTACCTGTTCTCAGTTTAATTTGTTGGAAAAATCGCTCGGCTTATAGGCGAATAAATACGGTAGTATTTAAAAATGTAGATTGGCAATCACAATTTTGAAAGACATTTCAACCACTTTATACCATCAATTTTGAAATGGTAATTGTTGAATCATGTAAGGATTGTCACATAATAGAGTGCAGCAAGCAGAAGCTTTCTCTAATTAGGGATTTCATGGTGAAAACAACAGACATATTCCAAATTTCAAATAACTGAGGGGTTATGCTTGATCAGGTGAGGCAAATGTTACCTACAATATATCTTGGTCATGGTTATGGTCACTGGAAGTAGTTATTATTATCAAAAGTCAAGGCTTATGGTTGACCTCATCTTGTCTGAGGCTCTCTACAACTTATAAACCTCTCTTTAACTACACTGACAAGGCAGAAAATTAAAAAGGAGCCAAATTATTTATTACAAATAACTTCCCACTATTTCAGTGCTAGGCTTGAGTCTTAAATGCATCTTCACCTCACATGACATTCTCTTACCAAGCTCTAAGGCAAATTCATAAAACGTCTTAAGTTTTCCAACAAGTGGCACCACTGCTTTCCATGCAACCTCTTGGAGCTCTTCATTGAGAGCATTGGAAATTGCCTGAAGAAAGAAAAATTTCAGGCAGGGATTAAATAACTTCTGGAGAGAGTATCAGTGCTCTATAATCTCCAACAAAATATCTGTGATGAAACAAGTAGCATTTGCTGATTTAACTAAACAGTATTATAAAATAATTCAAATAGTACGCACTAGTTATTTTATAAAAGAAATGTAAAATGGTTTCTGTGTTTACATAGCCTGATATAAACACTTGGGAGGTTGGGAGAACACTCAATAAGCTGGAAACCACTCCACTTTGTGTCGTGGTTTCCTACGCTTATCTCGTGTTCTCCCAACCTCCCGCGTGTTTACATCAGGCTATGTAAACACGGAAACTATTTTACATTTCTTCGGCAGAAACTCACAATTATGGCACTTACTTGTCTTATTTCTTCCCCAGCCCCTTGGTAAGCTTGCAACTCCTGCAGAATTTGAGGCGCAACATCTAACACACTGTGAACCACATCAAACACTTCTTTTTCTGATTCTGTTGGGGTAGCATCTAAAAACAATACAAATTTAAACAAGATAACTTTGAACCTTAATAATTAACATAACTGGCCGTTTTGAGCTCCTCAGGCACACAAATAATTGAAATAGCATGCTGAAGGATAAAATTTGGTTTTGTGTAGATTGAAAGATCACATTACCAGTTGAAAAGACATTTCCCAAAAATGAGAGACTGGTCATTATTGATTGCTTGGGGTGAGGGAGGTGTTTGGAGGATTTTGGATGTGTTACAACAAAATTTACCTGATCCCCCTCCCCATGACTCTCTCGTTAGTTTTGAATTCTCTATAGTTCCTCACTTTATACTATGTTGGCAATGACTGATCTCCCCTGTGTTCCCCCTGTTAATCATCTGATCTCCCAAAAATCCACCACCCACCCCCAGATTCCCAGACAATTAACAATTGGTTCATACATCAGCGTGCATTCATAGAGATATGAAGCACGCAGGAAGTTTGAAGAGCACGAAAGATGCGTAAGAGTTGCTTGAGGCATAGCCGAGAGGAACTCTAACTTTTTGAGTGCTCTCCAAACTTCCCAAGTGCTTCATATCTCGATGAACGCACAGCTGACATATGAATCAATTGTTTTATAAAATTTTGAACCCCATGGAAAATTGTTTTTTCTTGAGGGATTTGTTTTCTGACATCATGAGCGTGCACAATAGGAATATGAAGCACGCTCGTGCAATTGAATTTGATTACACAAATTTACTAGCTATGTTATAACAGATGATGACTGGTACTCAAAGCACATCTGTGCTTATTGTTATTGAGAGAATAATCCTTGTTCTAACAGAAAACAGGAAAACTAGTGTTAAATGAAAAAGTACAGTGTGGATACCAATCAAAAGGAGAGAAATGCTCACGAGAACTTGAATAATGGCACATATTTTTGTAGCCTTAACCCTGTTGATCCTAGGATCTCATGAGTAGTTCTCCCTACTGTCTGCAAGAGAAGTCTTCTAATGTTGATTCACAGAATTTGTTACTGAACCAACTAATAACACTCCAATTGATCACTTTCTTTTACTCTCAATAATATTGTGTTCTTTTACTCTCCTAATATTGTAAGGAGAAATCCTGTCTTGATCACTCATGGGAATTAAAGGGTAAAAGTGTGGGAGTAGGTAAGAAACCAAGTCTTCCTTGATTTAAGCTATTTCATCTAGTGGTAAACTCAGAGAAATCTTGGATTACCTCACAAAAGACTACTCTACAATCTGTGCCCGAATTTCTTCACGTTTCTGATTCTGCAATTTCCTGAATTTTAGTTCAGCAGTGATTTAATTCATGTATTATATCCACAATGTTATCACAAGCCCTGGATTTCTTTGGGCTTCCTTCCCCATTGTAAGAATAACATACTTCTCAATTTTGCTACACCACAAGTAAACACAGAGCTCATGGTTTAACTCAGAATAGAAACTACTGATATTAATAATGACAATCATAATTGACAATCATTCCAATGACCAAACCTACTTTCAAAGTCCAAGAAAATGTCAATTTTGCTACCACAGCCATCATTTTCTTCTTTTGTTAGGAGCTTCAGGAGATTCCCCATAACAGGATGCTCGTCATCAACTGCAGCTGTGAACAGAAATAACAATAGATATCAGCACACGATTTAAAATCATGTTCTTGCTATTTATTGAGACATTGTGTTGGGGCCTTAGGCTATGTTTTTCATTTTGACTCGAACAGAACAATAAGAAACAAAAGGAAAATTGGGTAATAGTTTTAAGGGTGAAAAAAAGTCGAGTAGAGTCCAACAAAATTGCTTTCCACTCTTGATATCCATAGAAAATTGCACAAGAAAGCTTTGAATTTGGTTCTATTGTTTCAAATTAACTGAACACCCTGTCAGTCTACCCAAGGAATGCTTCCCTTTCTTAGTGTGTGTTAAAAAAAAAAAAAGTAAATAACTTGAACTTTGTTTTGAATGCATAACGTATTAAATGTTCATTTTACAAATGTAAAAGGCTGAGGGTTACTTTTAAGTGTTCTTACTATGGTGACCTTGGCAACATTGAGAACAATAGCTAAGGGAAAAAGAGGTTATCTTAAGAATATTGTAGTTATTCATATCTAATTAATGTATTTAATTGGCTTTTTTCAACAGAATGTGAAAGGAAAGTACCTAATTCCACAAAGAATTACAACAAATTGGTCTCAATGTGCCCCCAATCCCTCTCCTCCCAGACTGAAAGAGTGAGAGATTGTCACTTAAGAAAGGTGTTAGCACAGGGATGCTAAACCATTTTTCAAAAGGGGAAATATTTTTCACAACTATCTTTTATGTACTCAGTTATCTATAATGGATCACATGTGCCTAAATCCTAATTTATAGACATCATCCCTCTACTCACACCAAAAAGGTTTAACAGGAAAAGTAGACAAATACAAAACTCCAAGCCCTGTCACAAGTCTGACCCACACATTAGGATAAAACTGATAAGATTTCATGTCACAGGTGTGTAGTAAATATGTTTATTTTTCCTTTATTATTGTAAATGAAGTCAGGCATTTCCTTTAAGACATATTCCATTAACAAATAAATGAAACGATTTTATCTTAGTGTAAATATAAGATTAAAATGCCACATCAAATAATGCTTACGTTTATGTACAGTGAATGCAATATAGCAAGTTTTAGTGGTATTATTAAGTGATCTTTGTTCCTTAACTGTAAGAGGTTCGAAGTGGATGATATTCCAGGAAATGACAACACAAACTATGCACTAAACGCAATAATTGAATATACTTATTCAAATTGACAATTTTACATGCACATGCAGATAACTCTTAAGTGAAAATGAAACAAAAGCCAACGATTCCACGTTAATTTCAAAGGGGAGTTATGAACAAAAATCATTAATCCTTGTAAGTCTGGAAATTTGTTTCGTTTTCAAAATGAAAAAAAATGTACAAAGTGTAGACTCGTTCTTGATTTTAAAATTATACGCAAGCCTAACAAACGTCAAGTAATTAAACGTACTCTGAGCTGTTCGATCAAATCATGTTTATTTCGATTCATGTCAATAACCCTATACGTGCATCGAGGCCTCCAACGCCCGATAAAATGAATTAGACAGGTTGAAGACTTTAAATGTAACGAGGAAGTAAATGAAGGCGTGAACAAAAAGACCCCAACGAATATTAATTCACTCGAATAAGAAAGCATATTAGCAGTTACGAGACCGATGACAATGTATTGTAAGAGTGAACACAGTCATGTTTCGAGACTGGAAAGGTTAGAGAGGACGTAAACATTTTGAACAAAGATTATTCGCGTCGCTTATGAAGAAAGCTTGGGCAAATTTTCACTTAATATGGACATTTCTCTACTGTTCTTCGGTCAATAAACAAGAAAGTCGAGTAACACGGGTATGTGGCGTGAACAGAAATCTACACGAAATCGAACAACCTCAAAATCGTAACCAGTTACGCTTTCTACTGCAACCTTGAAATCTAGAGTAAAATCAGGAAAAGAAAACTACGAGCACTTAAGGAGGAAAGGAGCCCGATCCAATGGGAGTAAAGTTTGTGTTTTCAATGTACAGGAAAACGGTTCGAAATCATGAAGCAACAGTTTAACGACACTTACCTCACCCCAACCGGAAAGGGAAACGGACAACCACAACTTGCCAGGGAACAGAGGGTCCCTAACTCGTCAAAATACGATTCGACCCTCTCTTTCGCCGCCGAAGTTAAAGAAACGTTCACAAAAGTAACAAAAAACGCACTTTCTTTTCTTAGAAGTCAGCGGAAAGAGCTGCTGGCTTGAACTCTTCCTTGTTGCTCTGTGGTGCCTCAAGGGTAGGGAATTGGCACATTTCCACGCCCTCCTAGCCCATAATACTAAAGGACTGTTTTAAAATTAGGCCCCATATTTAGTTCGACCATTGTGTACGGGTCCATTACTTTTCATCACCAAATATGGTAAAATATTGGCGGTAAAACAAGGGAAGGCATCTTAGAAGATGCGCTATACTGAGACCCAGGAAAGATCGTAGTTATAAGGCATGACCCGAAATATTAAAGTACTGACGTTAGACGACGTTTCCAAAGAGTTTTCGGAAAATGCCGAAAGTTGCCGTGGTCGATTTCCTCTTTCTTGTTTTCTTGTAATATTTTTTTATATTACTGAGTTCAATAAACGAATAGTTTTGTAATGTGTAAGCTTTAGAACCTCTTTCGATTGTATAGAGCGTTTGATGCATATCTGGGTCGCTGTCGATGTGAAGGATCCCTCTAACTCATCCCTTGGTCCCTTCAGGGTATCTCGTGGATGACAAGATTCGGAAGTGAAATTAAAAATTTCACGGCTTCGTTTCTGGTAGGTTAAGAACCGCGGTGTAACGACCCAATGGTTTTTGCCTTAAAAAAAAAAAGCGGGAATATTAAACATCTTGTGTGCGAGGTTTTTATCGTCTTGACTGGAATGGATTCGCTAGTCGGGAAATTAAATAATTTTGTGCCCATAGACAAAAGGTTTGGCTACGTTGACGACGTGGATACGGCATACCATGAACCAAGTTTTACGTGAATTTGAAACAATAACAACGACAAGATTTTGTTCGTTCTATTCCAAAGATTTTGGAAAACATCACGATCGAGGTATTGGAAAAGATCAAGTTGAAATCCACAACTACGCCTAGATAAGTATCGCTCAGTAATGAACCTCACCTAGAGCTCTCACGCATTGAGCGTGACTCACGCAAACAAATTCAATCTTACGCTCTCACGCTGAAACTAGCTTTCTAATTTAAACTGTTGATTTTGAGATAGCAAACTGCTGCTTAGGTTAGGAACAGGAAGTTAATGCCTTAGGCATCAGAAGCGACGGCTATGCGTTCAAAAATTGTGACCTTTTAGCAGAAAACCAACTTGAGGAATTGTCACACAACGTGCGTGACTTAAATATGCCCTTGATGTGTTCTAATTTTTAATAAACAGGAAGTGAGAAGTCTAAAAAACACAAAGTTTACTTCGAAGGTCCTGCGGCTGGAAATACCAGGATACAATTTGACGGATGTCCATTTATCATCGTTGGGAGAAAAGTATGTGACTGCCAGCATGGCGTGGAACGTGACCGTCACGCCAAGGAAAAGAAAAGGAACTAGCAGAATGAAGTGAGAAAACAACCTTGAAGAAAAAAAAACCGACAAAAAAAACAACTTGCAACTGGAAAGGCGAGAGGGCAAAGGCGAGTCTACATTGAATTTCCAAGAGAGTGCGACCACACAAATCATTTTTCAGGGCAGGTAAGTTATTGGAACAAGTCTCTTTTGAAAGGAAACGCTTTAGCTACTATGAGGAAGATTGCCCGTGCCAGGACTGTCCAGGAGTACTCATTTATTTCATAACTTAGGTCATTAAGCGGAAATGAAGGGCACTGAGAAGTACTCACTATGGTTGCAGATCAAAATTTAATTACCCGTACTCTTACTCTTGACAGATATCTCGCACCTGCTGCATTAAAAAATGCACTTTAGTCAGGAAGTGCCAGTACCTTTAAGGAGATTCAAAAGCTAAAAGAAGACAGCCTTTCTCCGGTTGCCATGGTGAAAGGGTTGAAATGATGGAAAGTAAGTACAAAGTTAATCATAACAAAGTTAATCATAACAAAGTTAATCATAACAAAGTTAATCATAACAGCAGGGCAACGCATTCCTAAACGTGCCAGAAGCAGTCTGACTAACTGTGATATTGAGTTTGAAATTGTCCCAATGGATTTAGATAACGCAAGTGTTGATGACATGGCATGACCAACTTTGATGACATGGTGTTGGAAAATCCATTCATTCCTATAACCCTGCACCTGCTGCAACTAGCTCCATTGACAAAGAGGTCCAGGAAACTGAATCAAATTTTATAGACCTCATATCCTTAAAGGAAAAGCAGATGGAATGCATCTGAAGAATTACTTGCTCAGAAGAAGACGTTTTAGTCGTTTTTCCGACGGAATTTGACAAGAGACATGATTCGGAAAGTGATAAAATTGTATCACCCCACTGAGTTGTTGTTGTGAGTCCCCTGGAGTATACACGGTAGCAAAAAGTCGAAAATCTTAAGAAGACACACTGGAGAATTGAATCAGTTCTTAGTCTTACGTGATTTTTTTAAAGAAAGTACCTGATGACTAACGAGGAAGAATTGTTTTTTTCTTTTTTTTGTCACCAGGAAGCACAGCAGGCAGAAAATTTAGTCCCACACTTTTGATCACTTCCGACAAAATAAAGGACCTTGACTTTTGCCGATTCTCTATTTCTCGATAGCTTTGACAGGGGAACCGCACCAACGGTTAAGCATGGTGCGCAAAAGCAGAAGTGCTTAAAAAATCTGCAAGAATTTTCGCTGTCACTAGCAGGAGATGACGACTAATCCATATTTACAGTATTTTCAGTAAACACAGTGCTCGAGTTAGAAAGATAATAGCTACAGGAGCTGTTTCGAACCTCAGCGCTGCGAACAAATGACGTCACAGATTTTCACTCAGACGTGCCACGTGCGAACGACTCGCAGCCGGTTGTCTTTTTGGTGTCTGTAAACTCGTGAACGTGACTTTTTTTTAAACCACTTTTTCGCGAGCAGATGAAATATCCAGCTCAATGTCAAACAGAAAACCTGGGAATTATTTGTTAAATCGACAAATGCTTGGGTGAAAATGCAAAGAATTGGAAAATAATGGTGATTTTGTCGTCTATGGGCCGTGTTTACAAATGTCTTAGTGCAGAAAGGTTTGTTTGAATGACAAAAAAAAGGTTCTCTTTTCATTTCTCCAGTGAAAGCATAAAATTACAGACGTTTGCTTTTACTATCAATAAAAATTCCCGAAAACTACACTGGAATCAAGAATAGACAGTTTCTTATCTAACTTGCGATCAAGCGTTCTTAAGGGTAGCGTGAAAGTCGGCAAACGGGGAAGGGCTAAAAAACAACGCCTGCCTGTCAACAGAGAGAGATCTTGACTGAATCACGTAGACGAGCAACCAGTCATGCCTATTAATTTATTGAATTTATTTGATTCATTTTGAACTGATCCTTGATCCGGTGATCCGGTAATCCAGTGATCCTTGATCCAGTTTTTCCAGGAAACCTCTGACGTCAGTGTTGTGAATATCTAATAAGCTGTTGTTTTGACCACGAGTTGGTGGTCTGCGGTCTTATAAGGAAATGTGATATGGCAACCTCTTTGGCTCGGCCTTTTGTACGAACCTTTTTCTTTCCTAAAACTCCTAATTTTAAATTTATACCAAAGAAAACACATCGCTTCATGAGCATCGCCTCTTCTAAACTCCATGTGAACGGGGTCAACATTCATTACGAAGTTGCTGGTCAAGGCAGCCATGTTGTTTTATGTATGCCCGGTGCTCTGGGATCAACGCAAAGTGATTTTGGTCCGCAGCTGAAGGGACTTAAGGACGAGTTTACAGTTATAGCGTTTGATCCTCGAGGATATGGAAAATCGACTCCTCCAAAACGGGATTTTCCAATTGACTTTTTTGAAAGAGATGCAAATGATGCTGCGTCTCTTATGAAGGTGCTTGGTGAGTTAATCTGTTGATTTTACCCACTTTAAAATTTGATTGCGAGTGGCTTTCAAATCTGTAATGAGGTCTTTGATAGGAAAATTCGTGTTAATTCCTGTGCTAAAGGTTTAAAAATCGTATACCCAAAGCCTTAGGATAAGACTTAGAGTTAAAAAGTTTGTTGGAATGGAAATAAATAGCTGCACATCCGGACCTCGATTAACCGGATTTCTCGATGATCCGGACCTTTTCTCTGGTCCCAATTTTGTCATGAATATTTATTAGTCATGATCGATATCCGAAACCATAATCTCTTTAAAACTACAGCGTTGAAAAGTGTAGTAAAGGCTAGTTTGTTTTGCTTTGAAAAGGCAAAAGCATCACTCGTTGTTCACTCGAATGCTCACTCGAATGAGGTCTGATTGGCTTATACTCATCTTCTGGATTATCTGGACCCTCGATCATCCGGACTGTTTCGTCTAGTTCCAATGAGTCTGGATAATCGAGGCTCGACTGTAGTTGAGAAACCATCTTATGACTGATATGAGTAAAGAAAGTCTGAAAACTTCCTCATTTCAGGCCACTCTAAATATTCACTTCTGGGATGGAGTGATGGGGGAATAACTGCCATGATACTGGCCGCCGCACATCCTAAAAGCATCCATCACCTGGTAGTTTGGGGAGCTAATGCCACTGTAACAGCTAAAGATATTGAGCTGTATGAAGTCATCAGAGACACATCAAAATGGAGCCCCAAGATGAGAGAGCCTTTAGAGGGTGAGACATCTCTAATGAATACCATGTGGATTTTCTTAAAACATGCCTTAGAAAGATTCGTTAGTGAACAGTTTTATTTTTCTGAATTGCTGAAGGTTTTTGGCCTTTTTCCACGTTTTGTTCGCACTTTGATCATTAAAATATCCTCATCCGAAGAGCCTACAAACTCCATGAGTATCCGCAGATTTACGAACGGTGGTAAACTGAGCATACTCTTTCATCCCTCTTCAAAAATTATTACCGAAATGTGGTGAACCAGTAGAAGCGCGCTGAAATCACCAGAATGGCACCAAATGGGTAATTATTCTCATGCAAACACCAACAAATTACCTCTCTGCTTACAATGACAACTCATATCTTTATTAGTCTCAGACATTTTCTCTCAGATGTCATCAGTCATTAAAAAAGGTTAAGTCTGGTTTCAAGCAAAGTAGCTCACCTAGCAGGAGCTTATTCTGGTTTGCGTAGTGTGAAGTGATAAGGTGTATTGCTGCTGCCCCTTGATGGCATGTCAGTCAATCATAGGGTATGTCCTTATGATCACAGGTTACCTCCCCCCCTTTTAGAATTTCTTCAAGCTTCCCTCACAGGTGGCTGATACCCATTCATACTCCTGAGTAAAGGGGGGGGCTACAAGAGCTAAGGGTCCTTCCTAATATGTATTTATTTTGTGTTAATGTTAAAAAGTATTTGTACAACATTTTTACTAGCACCAAAATGGCTTTACTCCATTCAGCAATATCATGTTTTGGAGTTTTTATGTATTCTAAGCTCTTTGTGGTTTCATTTTAGCCTTGTATGGAAAAGAAGGACTCCAAGAGATGAACAGTGGCTGGATAGATGGCATAAGTCGATTTTATACTGACAGAGGTGGTGACATTTGTACCAGTGCTGTGAAGAAGATTAATTGCCCCACCCTGGTAGTACATGGGCAGAAGGACCCCCTGGTGCCTCAATTTCACCCTGAGTATCTACATGCCAACATTAAGGGTGCTAAGCTGCATGTCATGCCTGAAGGAAGACACAACCTTCACCTTAGATATGCTGACGAATTTAATACACTCGTCAAGGCGTTTTTGAAAGGGAAATCAAAAATTTAAACCCATGTTCTATTAAGAATCATTGTTTTTATAAAAGATTATTTTTTCCTGTAGAAAGGTTCGGAGTGTTTAGTTAGTTCAACTCTGGCCAATATGTCAAGAGATTGGATAACAGCAGCATGTCAAATTAACAGCATAAAAGTGCTGATGAACTAAAAAGAAACAGAATAAACCTTGAAACACATGGATGAGGAAAGGTTGTAGATTATTAAACAGATTTCATTCGAATGAACACGCAAATCTTGAAAGTGATAATTGAGCTCAATCATTTTTTATGAAAGTTCTAATTGTAACGAGTGAAGATAAGCTTTAAAAGTTAAATCTTCTGTTGTGTGTAAAGAAAAGGAAACTACTTCAGCTTCCAGAATTATTTCTACAGTTTTATACCATAGTTAGTAGAGGGGACAATGATGTACACCGAACACACTTTACACTGAGGGAGATGATGTTTCAGGTAGTGATTTCTTTAAATGATATGTCAGTTTTACAGGTGACGTTGTCTGCTGTAAGTTAATTTTTTTGCAGTCCAGTACAGGGTTTAGGAGACAAAAACAGATGTTTCGGTTATTTAAAGAGAATAGTCTGGAAAAGTTAACTTATTAGGAAGGTAAATGGAAGAAAAGAAAGAGGACTGGTAAGAAGACAATGCTGGGAAAGATCCAAACACACTAGATGCATTTAACAAACCAAAACAGAAGCTGGAAGACAAGAGTTAGATAGACACCGGTAGCGAAGTGTGGTTCAAACTGCGACGTGTAGTGGGATAAGCAGTTAAAGAGACATGGTTTTGTCCAGGAAGCTCCCTAGCTGTGAAACCATCGAAGTTAAGTAAGTATTGCCTTAAGTCATTCTGTGAATTTTTTTTTTTTTTTTTTTTTAAGATTGGATTTCATAACACCTCCAAACCAAATAATCCCAAGCAGCTTCTTATCCATAGAGTAATTTTGGATTGGTTGCCGTAAGTTTTCAGGGATTCCTTTTGTCTTCTGTGATTGGTTCATCCCTTTTGTTGCACTGTGATTGGTTCAGAAAACTCCGGCCATCCTCTTAACCTTCAGGTCTGCGTTGTAAAACTAACGCCGGTCGCGAATTGGTAATCCGCGTTTTCACGGGCGCAGGGCAGTTCACATGTTTCTACTTTGAGTTCTAATTGGTTACTTTAGAAATATTTCTTAGTTCTTATTGGCTGAAAGTGAACGGTCTCAGGTTCGATTTTAAGGGGACTCAGAATTTTAATTTTGTCACGCTTTGCGTAAGATTTGTTTTATGGACGCACAGTTGAATAGCGCTCTAAAGTCAGCCCACTCTCGAGAATGGCACACAAAGGCGATAAAACACCACACATCAGTCGAGTGACATTTCCTGAATTTTACTAAGACGTGCGGTTCGGAATGCTTTACAATGTGTGGTATTCATTGCTCTTTTTCACACTGTCAGAAATTTCTGCGTGGAGTTCTTTACTTTGGCTTTCAATTTATTTCGACGAACATTAACCACCAACACTAAGATAGTAAATCTGTGACATTTACCAAGCCTCACAATGGACTACTAACATTGAATTCGTCAAATTATCCGTTTCCTGTTGTTTTTCTCAGCACTGTTGACTTTCGAAAAGCTTCAGGGAACAGGAAATTCCTGCACTTTCGACTCGCCGTTTCGGTTCTTTGTCCGACTTCCTAATATGGAAATGATATGTTTCAAAGCAGCCTTGTAACCTGCTCGGTATCGCTGGCTCACCAGTATACACGTGACTGGATGCACAAACGGGTCAATTGTGGACAACGCAAACGCCAATAGATCAAAATACGTGCTGCGCCAATTTACATGATAAATGAGCACCACTCGAATCTGAAAATGATAATAAAAAAAAGTGATTTGGACAATGAATAAAGGGGGTAAGTTTCTGAAGAAACTGAGGTGCTGCGTCGATGGGAGAGTATAGCAGGTAATCTAGTGTTAACAACTGAGTTGAAAACGTAAATTGGCCACCGTTAAGAATAAAAAAGCTGACATTTCGAGCGTTAACCCTTCGTCAAAGCGATAGACGAAGGGCTAACGCTCGAAACGTCAGCCTTTTTACTCTACGGTGGCCAATTTACGTTTTCAACTCAGTTGTTAATACTAAATTATCTGATGTGAACACTCAGAACATCAGATACAGATTATCGGAAATTATTCATAACCATTACAATTTCCTCAAAAGTGATTAGTGCATTAGCTGATTTATTTTTCACTTATCATTCTGTACAGTTGTGTAATTGGACAGTTGGCTGTAATCGGACAGTTGAAGTAGCCAACATAATAAGTCCACTCAGCTAGATCCGCCAATCACAGAACTGATCACAATAACCATAGCAACAACCACTCATCCTGGAAAAAACTGGGAATTTCCAAAATAGAGGAATATTTTTACTATAGACATTCTCTCTACCAAAGATGTTTGTCCTAAACGTTATTTTTTTTCGGAAGTTGTAACGGTTATGATAAATTTGTGGGAGGTCCTCGTGTCGTCCAATTCTGTCTATAATCACAATCTTGGTTGACAAAGCAGACTCCCGCTTCGCGGTCACTGGTATGATTACAGACCGAATTGGACTCCACTCGTTCCTATCACCATTATAACCATGGCCCGTTTATCATGAAAGATTGAGCTGCATTCCTTGTGATTGTTTTTCTTCATGTCCTTTTTCGTTTTGTTCATCTCGTCAGTTTTGTGTGTCTTCATCAGGCTTCATTTTAATTTCTTTCACGCTGGGGGATATATTTTAAACTCAAAATATCTAGACGGATACTTTGATGGCAAATGCAGGATACCGACCTCGTCGACTTTCAATTCTTTTTGGTTAAATATGCCTTTGGAAGCGAGATTGTTCAACGACTTAGAAGTAATTATAAGAGTGGCCAATCGAGGTTTTCGTCAAGAAACCAAAGATTAGCCGAAGATTAGCCGAAGATTGGCCGAGACGGTAGGGAAAGAGTCTTTGATAGGTCGTAGTGTTCGTGCGCTCGTTCGTTCGCGAGCTATCGCAAGGCATGTTACATTATTCTTACGGTGTGTTACACGGTGCCGGTAGTTAAAAAACATGATCATCATTCGGTTTTTTAACACTCTTGTGAAAATTGTTAAAACCACTTACCACAATGGGCAGCCAACAGAGAGAATAAAAAAGAGCCATGAGACCTGTCAGATTGGACAGGATGATGGATTCCTTCTCTGCGCCAAACTGAGCCCTGATCTCCACTCCAACTGACCGGTCCATTTTCTTCAAAGCTCTTAACACTGACAGGTTCATGATGAGCATCAGAAGAATACAGAGTGAAAAATTGCAGACAAACGCATGTACTACGACTTCTTCTCGTAAACTTTGTGAATAAAGCGAGTACAAACAAATGGGTACTGGTTGCTTTGTGAGTTCGACTGTTTTTAATATAACGGGGAGACTCGCCAGTGCGCCTGCGTGTAGGAAGATGTACACAGTTGCTGATACAATTTTGCGAAATTCTATGAGTTGCTCGTAGTAGAAAGGAAAACACATGGCGATAAATCTTTCCGCAGACATAACCAATGTTATCATAACTGTCATTGTCCCGAAGAACAGCAAACATAACGTGCTCACTGAACAACCGACTTTCCCCGCAGGCCATTCACCTGTCAGATAAGCAACCGCTGTCCAAGTGTACCCGGTAAGCGCCAAAAGAATTCCCATGAGTGCCTGAAGGCCCATTAGTAAATCATTATACTTCTTTCTGCTGAATGACACTTTTTTAAATACAAGCAAATAATAGGCGGCTATGGAGTTTATCAATACAGTCACAAATGCATAGACGATCGTGCAAACGCCTAGAATGAAATTTTGTTTAATTTCGTAATCTCTGCTGTGATTTTCTGATTTGGTTTCCATATCTCAGAAATCAAGCGAGCCTCTGTGCTGTTCCTGAAAATTAAAAAAATGACAACTGATATAATTTTCTGAATATGTTAAAAAATGCAATATTGGTATGGATAGCTTAGATTTATACTCTACACATTAAATTTCAAAAACACAAAAATTCAAAATGAAGGCCATGTTTTCGTGAATTCGAAGATCGTTTGACATAAAGAGCTGAATAGTAAATATCGTCGGTTGTTTGGTCCTCTGAGCCGGAGAATGAGTGAACACCACGATCTCGCACAATTTCATTTTCGATTCAAGTAGGGCTATAGGGTATAGTAGGGCTTCACGTTTTGAAACGTACGAGATTTCACGTTTTCTTTGTCCTTTTAAAATATCTGACCTTTTATATCTACATAATCTAGATTCTCTAGTAGTAACTGTCAAATGAGTGTTTCACGCTGTAAGGGTTGATGATGAATTCATCAAATGGCACAACTGACCTTCTTGGTTACAGGGCCATGAGTGTCGATGAAAACCAAAAGGTTTAGAAACGATTTGCGGAGGAGCTGCCTTCACGGAGTCTGTCTACGTTAAAAGCACTCTAAGTGAGCCGCATCATGTTACCACCTGTAAATCAACGTATTTCTGCCTTTATTCAAAAGTACACAAAAGTGCACAAAAGACACTAGCTATCTGGCCGCAAAAACTATATCATGAATGAATGAAGTAAAATCTTAAATTAAGTTTAGGAGATTAACAAAAAATGATTAGAGAGAATACGTCACACTGTCGATAATTTCGAACGGCTTCTAAATGTAAAGAAACGAAAGCACTACTGGATTAAACCTGCAATTATGGACTCGGGTAGATTGAAAAAAGACTTTTCTTTTCTTTCATCTCTTAAAAACATCAACGTGATAAAAATATTGAATATTGACTAAGGTACATGACAAAAATTGTGGGTTTAGTACAAGGTAAAGGTGAATTTTGGATAAACAAAGATAGAACCCTGCTCTAAAATAGATTGAAATTACTATCGCGAGATGCTACGAGGGAATTAAGATATCGAAATTACGACTTTCATTTCGTGTTGTACAGAAGTCTTTCTTTCCACCAGAATTACCCGTCAATAGATCGTTTATTAACAATGAATGTTTCCTCTCAACAACATATTACCAAAGAAGTTCATAATCAGAATGGATTTCCTAACTGCTTCGTAGTTTTACACCTTTGAATATTTCAGAAATCCTAAACGTAAACAAAAGTTATTTTTAGTTGTCATTCAAATTGGACAATTTCTTTCAGTATGAGCCTTTCTGTTGCTTACATTACTGCATTTTCGCAGATGCTTTTAAAGCGTGATCGGCTCTCTTTTAGTCTATGTAGATTTTGAAAATTGTAATTGAAAACCGAAAGATCTCTCTCGAGGTAGGATAAGAAACGACTAAAACGTAAATGATTATTTTTTTACAATTCGATGGGAAATACATAACAGATGATACAATCTAGAGCTGAACAAGTTTTCGAAGTTATAACTAAAAAAACCAGATAAACATACAAACCCTTCATATTAGAAGCATTCAGAAGCTGGAAAACCTGTCTGAATTATCTACAAAAACCGAAATAAAATTAGCTGCCGGAAAACCGTAAAGCCGTCCACAGCATGGCGCATCAGACAAGCTAATAACAAAAAACTGAAAATCACTTTTTCATTCTTAGCACCGAAGACTTTGAGGTAAAAAGGGAAAAGCTAAAAAAAAAAAGAAACAATGGATATTTAGACGAAAAAGTGATCATTTTGAGTCCAAAGATCGACAAACCTTACCTCAAAAATCAAATTACCGAAAAAAGAACTCTCTTTCATAACAGCTTTTAAAGCTACCTCCTGAAATGTAAAATAATTTGTTTACCTTTATTTTTATTAAGTTGTTACTCTACTGGTAGAAATGAAATTACTGTTATGATCGGCGATTGGATTTACGTCACAAGTTTTGTGCTCCGATAAAATTCACCAACAAACAATATGCTTTCAGTGCTCGCTTCCCAACTTTAACATCCAGTAAAATGTTACGTTACAGTATCGCTTAAAATGCGACATGTCGCCATCGAATTAATTACTTTGACGAGAAATAGTAGAGAGCATAAATTGGAATAAATCTTCCCTAAAGAAGAAACTAACAGAGGCTCTTGACTGGACAGATTTATAGTTATATTTTTTTCCTTTCGTTATGTGAAATTGGCATCAACTGGCTTTGTTCAAATCAGCATATCGAACTTTTAAGGAAAGCATCATTACATGACCTATTGCCTCCAATGTCGAAAGCTGTTAACGAAAATTGCACAAATTTGCCGGATAATTTAACTAAGTCCGGTATATTTTCATTGACATTAAAAGATGACTAAATGCGAAGTTTGCAATAAATTTATGCTTTTCTACGACACAACAAAATTTAAGGATCAGACCACTAATCTCTAGCCATCATTTGTACAACTGGATTGTCTTAAACTCTCATACAGAACGAATCGACAAAAAAGGAGAATTTATCCGCAGGGACACAAAAATGATGTCAAGAGATAATACTTTGTACTTGAATGGCAGTCTGGCTCATGAAGAAAAACTCCGTTATAGAACTAGCAACTAATCGTACTTACATAGGCTTGGTCGCTTTTTGCAAAGAGACAGAAGGAGAGAAGCGAAGATGGACGTCAAGTAAGAAGTTATTTACCTATGACGAACTCAACCTTCATTTGCAAGTTTAAGTACCATTTAACTCTTCTTAAGAGAACTTGGCTAAATTCGCTCAACTATTGAAAACGCCACTTGAAATATTTTCCCAATAGAAATAATTTGCTGCTGGCGTCATTCCCGCTTTTTTCAATTGTCATGTCAGTACAATGACTTGTATATTACTTTTACTGAATTTGTATGTGTGTGCACTCTGATTGGTTTAAAAGTGTTTGTGTGGTAATTTTGTATTGTTTGTATGTCAGACGTGAACTCATACGAATTCCATGTCTTTAGAACGCTTGAGACAGCCAAAGAGAAATTAAAATTGATCTCTCTCTTGTGGTGGGTGTTAAAAAAAAGGTGAAGCTTCAGCAAGGATTGATGCGTTTTCTTCTTCCCGTGCTCGTGAAAAATTAATTAAACTTCATTTTCCATGTTACACTAACAACATCACCTTTATTGTAACCTCAAATTTTAACAAGCTATAGTCATTAATGATTGACTAATAATGATCATGATAATTGGAGGGTACCAGGAGCCTGAAATAACTAATCAGCTGAAAATGACAGGTAGCGTTATAGCGTGGGTACAGCATGGTCAACATCCACACAATTTGTACAGACATCATATGTGCAAAAACAAAGAATTATGATAACATATTCAACATTACACAGTAAATAGTTTTCGACTGACAACAACCATTCACTTGACTCGGGTGATGACCTCCGCTCAGGTTGTCGAAACGTCAGTCACCACTACCGACAACAGTCCTTCTAAGGAATACACTCACCCGTACGATCAAACTACACTATTACATATTTAAAATTCTTCGAAGATCAAATAGGGGCGAGTTTTTCATTCTCGACAAATAGGGTATCCTTTATTGTAATGAAAAACAACGCATACACAACGAACATAAAAGAAACATGAAGGTGAAAAATATCAGTAGTTTGTCAGACGGTCAAAATGAGCGCCCCCTTGTTACAATCACTCTGCTAGCTTGAGCCGAGCTATGATGTATACATATCGTTGCTTCACGTGACACATTTGAGATATATACGTAATGTTAAAAAAACGAGCAGGAGTGTTTTATCGGGTTTAAAACCACAAGGCGTAGCCGAGTGGTTTTTGACCCGATAAAACACGTGCTGCGAGTTTTTTTGAACGGCTTCAAAAACATTCTTGGAAAAGCGTGTGTCAAGAGAGTTCATAACAATTATGCTTTTGTGAACGTTAGAAATTAGCATACGAGAAAAACATTAGGGATTGAATTTGCAAGAAAATCAAATCTCACACGTGTTTTGTACTTTTCTTCTGCCAACTGATCTTGAATTCGAAGTTTCAGATGATGTATTGTCTAATATGCCTTTACCAGATTACTGCACTAGTGGAATAGAGAATTTTTCCAGATGTGTATTTCACAACTGTACTATTAATTTGGTGCAAAGTAAATTTACTGTGTGAAATTTGTTGAAAGAACATATATAATATGTTCCCACCATTTGTTGTGTCAGTTTCTGTGTTGATAATTAATTAATATTCATAAGTCACGTGCAGTGTCTTTATATCTGATAAAACACCGCATACTAATAAGGATGAGGTTTATCGATATAAAGTCACTGCACGTGATGTATTATCTACCATTTGATAGGTTAATGGGCTTATGAATTATCAATGAGTTTTTTAAATATATTAAACACTCGCTCTTGGTTCCTGATTTTCTATTTTCCAATTCTGTTATGTTTTTGGTATAGTATGGTACAGATGCCATCAAATTATCCCAGCCAAACCCAATGTTAGCTTCACAGTTTCGAGCAACAAAGGTTATCGTCTATCACTTTCTTTCCTCTTGTTCACAGCTTACGTGGAGTGATATGCTTTTAAGCCGTTTCGTGTTCATCTATGAAATTAATAAAACCAAGATAAAATTATCCTTGTTGACAGCTCTGAGCACATGATTGTTGAACTATTCTGAATCGTACACAGTAATTGGTTTGAACCACGAGACCACAAGACCACGAGACTCATCATCTTCTCAGAAGTAACAGTTGCTCATATCTGAATCTGCCTATTACCCATGCCTCTCTCAGGTAAGACGATAATGGCCCGGTTAATGGCCCATGTTCTCTCGCGATTCTCGCTCGTCGCCAATCCCCCGCGTTTCCTTGACCGCTAAGTGCCTGTCTGAGGAGAAAGTGATACCCTCTCAAGAGAACCAGCTTTCCCGAATTTTCCCAACCACTCGATTGTTTAGATGAGTTTATCCTGCAGAAAATGCGCACTAAATCCTTTATTGCTCATAAAACTAACACCAAAGTTTCTGTTTCCTTAAACGATTCTAGATGAACTTGAATGCATGATTAAAAGCGAAGTTACCAAAGCTTTTCTGATGCTTCTAAAAGCCGATTAAATGGAAAAGTGAAACATTAGTCAGAAGATAGGACTGTTTAAAAGTGTGCAACAATATGCTGATGTATTTAAAAGTGTCCTTTAGTTAAGTTACCGGCAAGATTATCTCTGTCACTGAAACGGCAAAGTTTGACATCATTAATTCTTGACCAGCAAGCGTACGTTCAAATTTGAGTTTCAGATCATTCGTATATCACTGAGACCCGTTTAGCAGTATCGTAGAAAAACTGTATTTATAGTACAACGAGATAATTTTATATTATTAACTGACTTGATAACGTAAATTGGCCACCGTCAAGAGTTTAAAAGCTAACGTTTCGAGCGTTAGCCCTTCGTCAATCGCTCTGACGAGGGGCTAACGCTCGAAACCTCAGCTTTTAAACTCTTGACGGTGGCCAATTTACGTTATCAACTCAGTTGATAATACTAGATTACCCTGTTATATTTTCCCATCAATGCAGCACCACAGCTTCTTTAGAAACTTACCCCTTTACGTATTTAGTACAATTTTGTGCTGAAATTATACAAACGTCACTTTTTGGCTAAAGAAGATTCGATAGGCCTTTTGCCCTCTAAGTGGGTGTAAAAATTAGTCTGATCGTAAATCAGATCGTAAACACTTCATAGCGGGCCACAATATAATTCAAGCATCCGTAATGGAACATGTACGCTTTAAGACACATCTATTTAACACAATCTCAACAGCCTTTTTAAAGACTAGTATCTTCTTCATTGTCATTTTTTTCTTTTCACCAACGAGAATTATATAAAACGCACGAGTGCTACTGCCTTGATCTTGACTGATGTGTACTTCCTATAACTTTAACAGTTAAATCTTTTTTAGTATTTTGTGCGGGTAATTCTGATCGAATATGCGGATTTTTATGGTGGCAAGGAAACAAAAAATCAACCTTTAATTCAGCAGCGCTGGCGAATGATTTCCATTCTTTGGGTGTCAGTGTTCAGTTTGTTTGTTTGGGAATGCTTTTCAATGCTTCGTTATGAAAAAAACAACTGTTTGTAAAGTGTTAAAGACCGGAAATTTTGAAAACGTGAATTGTGTTGATACACTCCTCTACAGTGCATGTTTAATATTCTTACGTATACTTAGGTTAGGAAAGCCAATTCCACCCTCAAGCTTGGCTTCGAAAGTGTTGACTGAATTTTTAAGAAGAAAGTATTTCTATCCATTAACTTAAAAGTAAAACAACATTAAAATCACAACAGGGTGGCAAATGCACGAGAAAAATGTGGCGTAAATGAGGCTTGAGATTGAAATTTCAGCAAATATCTTACCTGAGCGAGGTTATTGTTTTATTGTGAACTGGGTCTTTCTCAGGCGTTAAATGTTTCTCACAGTATTGTATGAAAGGTGTTAATCTTATGAAACTGTGCAGAATTTTTCTTCTATTTATTTAGTTTACTCCTGTTGTTGGTCTCAGTTGAAGGAAGCTCTGCCGGGAGATGCCTGAAGCAAGCCAAGCTCGGATAAAAATTCGTTTGAAGGTTTGCTTTCATATCAGTACATCGTAAGCACTCAGTAACTGAATACAATCTAATCCAGTATATTGTTTTGTTTAGGATAGTCTTATTTTGTAGACAAGGCTGAAACTAAAGCGAATTTTTAGATTTGTTTTTTTGTTTTAAGCATGGGATGTTCTTGGGAGCGCTCAAGTATCGAATGTTCCTCAATAGCATGCTATTAACATTTGGGCAATTTCAGCTTCAAAGTTCCAACGAAAAAAGGTTCTTTTTGGAAAAAAGGTATCGCCAAGATCCTTTAATTTCCTACGGCAAGCTATAATGAAAACCGAAATATCATATCACTTATTCTCTAACACAAATGTTTCTTCAGTAGGACGTACGAAGATACAATTTACTCTTTCGATGCCGGTCCCATTCGTAGGCTGTAAGAAGTGGGAAAATGTCTTTGAATTTGACAAGTCAATCGTACTTGTCGTCTAAAAATTTACAGTTATCTAGGGCTTCTAAGGACTGCCCCGTGCTCTCCCCACCAATCTGGTCTGAAAGGGACTGGAATTGAAACAGAAGGGAGGGGTTTGGGGTTGCCATGCTACCGCAGCTGTGTTAAGTTTTATTTCATTCAGTTCAGATTTTCATTACATCTTCGTTATCTACTTTGAACAAAGTGTTGCTACTGCTGCTTTGGTAAAAACTTGGTCTTTTTTTCATATTTCAGCTACTTAAGTACCCTTGCCAGATGAACATGGTTACTTTTGTGATTGGACTGATCTTTGTTCCCTGTCTGTCCATGTCCATGTTCATATCTCCGCCCATCACGTCCCCCGTCCCCCATCCCGTCCCCCATTCCGTCCCCCGTCCCCTCACCAGTCCCGTCCCCCATCACCGACCCTGCATGGTAACCGCTGGTCTTGTTTGCCATGATTTAATTCAATACCGCTCCCAGAATGGTGAATGCAATAATCTTAAGAATCCACGCTGGGGCGCAGCCATGACCGCCTTCAAAAGACTATTGCCAAACAGCTACCAGAATAAAATATCCTTGCCGAGGTACTTGAAGGTAATTACTTTTCAGAACTATATATTCCGCTTGACTAACAAATAAGTTTATAGGAACCAAAAACCATGAACAGATCAAATAAATTGGGAACGTAATTGACTCTTTGTGACTTCAAATAACTTGGCTCTGGTCTAGTTAACTCGATGGGCAAATGTTAACAAGGGGGATTAGTCGTTATCCACCGGCGGATAAGTGCCAGAGAAACAAATTAACGGATTGCGGAGTTACCACCGGATATATATATTCGCTAAGTAACCACCAAATAGGGTAATATATTCCAATTCCCCTTATAGAACACTAGAAATACTTATTATTAAATAGACAAATATTATCTGTTCTGTTTACCTACGCGTTAAAATTTCTAGACAGCAATCTACTTGAAAGATAAATTATTTAATTGTATGCATAATTGCATAATTGTTCTTACTTTTGGAAATTAATAAGACTGTTTGCAGCTTGTGCTATGGTTTTAGAGGGGTCTGGCGTCAATTTTTGAACTGCATTTCTCTCTTACAGACAGATTCAAGTCCTTCCACCTTGTTTCCAACCATAGCGCAGGTCAGTCCTCTGCCAAACGCAAGGACCGTCAGTCGAATGTTTTTTCCTCAAAGTCAGAACCCAGAGTCACCTTGGCAACAGTCACCCCAATCCCCACAACGTACAAACATGGCGTCTGTGTTTGGTCAATTCCTTACGCACGATATAATTTTGACATTGCATGACGGAAATGAAGTCTGTGACGACCAGTGTAGTGATCTTACCACAGAATGCTTCGGGATCACCATTGCAAACACATCAAACGACCCTGTTTTTACTGAATGCATTCCAATGACGCGCGCCTCAAGGTGTAAGTTTAAGGGTGTACAAGAGCAAATTAACAGTGCCACTGCCTTCATAGACGCCTCACAAGTCTACGGAAACAACGAGGAGGAAGTGGAAAGAGTACGCGATATGAACTCACTGAATGGTCTTCTTCGCACAACCTGCCATAATGAGGCCGTTAAGCCACTCTTACCTCAGCTACAAGCTGATGATCCTAAAGTGTTTTGCCGCTCATACAGCAGTAAGACTCCCTGCTTTTACACAGGAGACTACAAAAGGAATAATGTTAGTCCAGGTTAGTTAAGTGACATGGCTGTTTCACAGCTTTTCTTAACCTGCATCATTAGGATGTAGTCTCTACTCCTGTCACTAAGAGCAGCTTTCGTTTGATTGTTGAAATTATTCCTGGATTGCGCTGTGATTGGCCTACAAAACTCTCACCACTTTCTTGACTAAACAAAAGCAAAACGAAAGCCCTGATCCATACTACGTCGCCCAGATAATTTAAAAAACAGCTATTTTGTTCTGGAAACCTAAAGAAAGTTTTCCGTTCATACTGGAAAACGGAAAGAAAGGAATGTTCTCTGTCCACGGTAACCGGGGAGGAAAAGCAGGACTGCACCCTAGCTAGAGTAGGGAAGTAAAAGTGCAGTAAAATGGGGTATCAGATTCGATAATGACTCGCAGCAGTGTATCCTAAAGTTAATCCCAATTTCCCTAATCATCCTGAGCAGCATATGGCAGTTTGCGGCCTTTCCCTACATTTAGCAGTTCGGAAAGCCGTAAAACTCTAGAACAAAAATTTATCTTTCAAATCGGTACCCTTAATCCCCACGGTATCAAAGGGCGCTTTCCATTCAAATAAGTTATTTTTGTTTTTTTCGTCACCATATTCCTACCAATAACGTAGCTCCATTTTTTGCATATAAACACACGCACACAACCCGTCGATCTGACGAAAGGCTAACGCTCGAAACGTCAGCTTTAAAGCTCTCTACGGTAACCAGCTCTGTTGATAACACTAAATTACCCTGTTGTATTCTCCCACCGACGCAGCACCATGGTTTCTTGTAGAAACTTACCCTCTTTACTCATTTATTTAACAGTTGTGTGTGCAACACGTTTTAAAAACATGTACTTTGCAAGCACGTAAATGTACTCTGCATCGGAGCACGGAATCCGAAGGTGTGAGGTTCGATTCCTAATGGGGACTCGGAATATTTTGCTTTGTTCCACGCTCGTGACGAGACGGAAAACATCTTCCTTTAATCATGTACTTTCTTCTCTTTTGTCTCCTAAAGCTTTAGCTGCCATGCACACTATTTGGGTGAGAGAACACAACAGGATTGCCTTAGAACTGCGTGAGATAAACCCCCACTGGGATAAAGAACGGCTTTTTCAAGAAACAAGGAAAATCATAGGAGCTATGATGCAGCATATATCATATAGCGAGTACCTCCCAACTATACTCAGTAAACAAATGGTAAGGTCTTTGTTGAAACTGTAACAATACCACTTTATATTTTTTTTGTTTAAATCCATCTGTTTATTTGACGGGGTATGTGTCATGTCTTAATTTTTAGTGAACTTTTCAATTGATCGTCGTGAACCCAAACTCGCAGTGATCACCTACGCTAAGAAGTAAGAACGAAGAGCTAATGAGAAACGAAATTGAGAACAGAAAAATCGCCTGATTGGTTGAAAAGGATGCGCGCGTTTTATGGACCAGTCACAAGCGCAATGACGATTATTTTGACATCCACCTGAAAATTGCCGAAATAATGACGTCACTTACGTGACTCTTTCCGTTTACTCCCTTTACGTAATCATCAGGACGCAAAAGTGTTCTGAATTTTGCTGAGGTTTTCGAAATAATTCTGATATTGCTCTTTTTGATTAGTTTACTTTGCTGCGTGATTAGCTCAGAAAACTCTTGCCACTTTGTTAATCACTAGGATTCAAAACTTTTTAGTTTTGGAAGTTTCAATTGCTTTAAAAATCAATTCCAACATGCTCTTCAGGCAGTTTCAATTCTCATTGGTTACTTCTGATATTTTCCTCTCTTCTGATTCGCTGTTGTGATTACTTTGGTTTTACGTCACTCAGTCGATATAAGCTCTTTTTCTATGAAAAGTCTCAAAACGAACTCGTATGATTGCAACAAAAAATCCAACAATTGTAAATCGAATAATCGGTACTGTTTTTAACAGCTTCAAGATTACGAACTGAATCCAAACCAGCCATGGAAATACGACCAATTCGCTGACGCCTCCATTGCGAACAGCTTTGGAGCCGCAGCGCTAAGGTTTGGTCACAGTACTGTTGGCAATATGTACACAAGGCCTGATTTCTTTGATATGCCCATAGACGATATGCACAACCCGACTCCTCTGTACAATTTACAGCAGGGAGGCGTGGATAGTATCTTGAATGGAATGCTGGAACAATCTGCCAGGAAAATTGATAGGTAACATTGAATGTATTGTAACTGAAACAAGACCACAAGTTACCTCAGCCTTGGTTGGGCTCATTTTTTTGTGTTCTTGAGCGACACACTTCTTTCTCCCTCTCCACGAAAGAGTATGAAAGGGTACCGGTCTTGATATGGATCTGACGAAATGCAGGGGGGAAGGGGAAGGGCAATGTGGGCTACTTGGCCCCAGTGCAAAACTTCTATGGCATTGAAATTTGTAGCGGGTATAGTTTGGAAAACCTGTTCCTCGGCTTGGCCAGCGATATGTTTCTCAGCCTTTTTCGGCCTTCAAAAGAGTGTTGTGTTTGTTCAAAAGGGTGCTGTGTTTGTTCAAAAGGGTGCTGTGTTTGTTCAAAAGGTTCTTTTCATGGGCGTTAACAATGAAATTAAAGCCTGGACCGGGAGTCACTGCTGATCTTGTAGCAATAAATATCCAGCGAGGCAGAGACCATGGCCTTCCACCATATGTCAAGTTCAGGGACCACTTTAACGTGAGTAATAGAAGCATTCCAAACGAGCTCAAGTCTGAACTGATAAATCTGTATGGTGATCTTGACGATGTGGATTTGTATGTTGGTGGACTCCTGGAAACTCCTGTTGCAGACGGGGCAATGGGGCCGACCTTCTCTCACATTTTAGCCGAAGGATTCAAGTAAGTGCCTAAATGTACTAAAATTTTTCATTGTTTATGTGGTGTAAAAAAAAAATTGATACGACGGTGTGGCGTGAGGCGCATACTTTTCCAGATGAAATAACAACTGGACGTGATCAAGGTTGGGCAATGCTTTAATACCTTCTTTATTATTTTAGGTTTATTAGCTAAAGGTGTTTGCTCTGAATTAATAGCAACCCTAACGATTGTTGACTATCGTATGGTTGTGCAAAACAACGGTAGTCTCATTAAGTAACTGTTCAGGTGGACGTAAATGTTTAGCTGGGGTGATTTTGGCTTCGCTTGACTTCGCTCAGCGACTTACGTTTCCGTCGCTTCGGGCAGTTTGCTCGTTTTTAATCTGAGTTCTCGTTCGCTCTCTGTGGTACCTGCCCTTGCGCTTTGCTCTGACTTGCCGTTGTGGTTCCCTAGGTTAGGATTTACTACACTCAACCGAATATCGATAGCCTAGAGGAAGGTAGTGCATTTACAATTTTCGAGGTAATTTTTCTCTTTTTAAGAAATCTGCGAAAAGGGGATCGTTTTTGGTACCAAAACTTGGACTCGCCAACCGGATTTAATTCTGATCAACTGAAGGAGATAAAGAAAGCTTCTCTTTCTAAAATCATCTGCGACAACAGTGATGCGATATACAGAATTCAGCGCATGGCCATGTTAAAAGAAGGTTCGGGGAACGAGAGAATGCCCTGTGCTCAACTTCCTTATGCAGATCTCAGCAAATGGAGAGACGAGGTAAGGATTCAGTTCGGTCTTGTATAGGTTTTCCATTTTAATAGTGGTACAAAGATAATATCTTCTGATTCAATTATGAAATCCGCACGCATAGGGAAACAGCTTGAACACTGAGGCTGAAGGGGAAAGTGGCATGGAACAAAAAAAGAGGAGGGAAAGTGAGACAGGTCAATTAGTGAGAGAGGGAAGTGGACAGGAGGAACACGATGCTGTGAAGGATGCAACCTTGAAGGACGTAAGGAGACGATTTTCTTCTTTCTTCTTTAGGCTGGGTGGGGTGGGAACATCCATGTAAGTTTACCAACATTACTTTCGGAAAGTCGTAACCAAAGCTGCCCGTGAAACAAAGCATTGGATGTTTATATCTAAAACAAAACGGTTTGTTTAAAGATAAATTCAACATGCAATGTGAGGTCTCTTCCTATTCTCCCTTGTTTTCGATTAGATTGGCCTATAACCAGGCGGGAGGGAGGGGAGGGATGGGGGGGAGGGGGGGATGAGAGGGAAGGGATGAGAGGGAAGGGATGAGAGGGAAGGGATGAGAGGGAAGGGATGAGAGGGAAGGGATGAGAGGGAAGGGATGAGAGAGAAGGGATGAGAGAGAAGGGATGAGAGGTCCTTCAACTGGGATTTTAAAATTACAAAGGCACCGACCAACTAGAAATATTCAGTTTCGATTAGTCTCGAAACATGGAGAATTTACCTCAATGAAGGATAATTTCTTTCCAGGTTAAAATGGAAAGCCAATTCTTTTTGGAGCAGATCATTGTAAGTGGTACCTTTGCACAGAATAGCAGAGGTCAGAATGTTGCTGATAATAGCCCTGAGTTAGAATATTTCTTTAACATTTGATGGTAGTCGTTAAATACAGATGCGGCGTAGGTTCTGTATTTTCTTCATGGGTTCGAGAATGATTCGTGCAATTTGACGGCTAATAAAGAAGAATATACGAAATAAACCAGAAAATTTCAACTATATTACAAGGGATCGTAGCAGAGCTTGGTAAGAAGACTTGGCAACTGTCACTCTATAGCCTAAAGTACGTCACTTTTGAGACAAAAATTAAAACTTCCAGAAATGTCGGAAAAGGGGAAGGGAAATCATTATCAAATGACTGTGCATCACAGGCCATTACCACATTCGGGTCAACCAATGATGATTATAAATGAAGAGCACCAAGCTTGACCATTGGAAGTATTTATATTCAACATCGATCTAGTCGTCTTTCTTCTAATAAAGTCTTTATTCCACAGTTGAAATAATTGAGGTATTTCTTTTCTATTTCGTGTTTTACATGCAAGAATAAGACATCTACACCCTTTTAATTGTAAGTGACATATTTTTGCTCAAAATCCTTAGAACAGAGACATTTAACTGATAATGCTGGATCACGATTTAGTGGTTTAACAAATTCTGAGGATTGCACTTTTTTCTCTCGAAGATGGGGAAAAGCAGACCATAGAGAAAACAGCTGAAAACGGGAGAGTTGCAGAGTTCAGTGGGACGGCAAATGATCAAGGAAACTAGCTACATTCTGATGAGTCATCATTTTTGCAAGGCACTGTTTTAAACGTATATTCATTAAACCTTTGACAGATTTCACTGTTGTCTTTTTTACTATTAAGTGCCTTTTCACAAATTTAATCAACTGGGGTCTGAGAGATAAGTTACCAGAGGAGCCCTTCGTATATACTGCCCCGCCCTGGCCCTCCTTCTCCTCTCGAGGCAGGTGAGGTGACGATCCAAACTTCCTGACCGTAAACTCGGACATTGTTGGAATTCCTGATCGCAAAATAAATTCTTTAAGAACGTTGCCGCGGTATTTATTTTTACGCCTAGATACTCTGTTTGTTTCTCTCCGGTCCTCCGAGATAAATGGTATAAGTTTGACTCAAGACGGTATCACGCCATCACCAGACAATAAAATATCCAGACAGTAACTGCCCAAGTTAAAGAACGCGATACCTTTCTCAGCGACCTTAGACTTTAACAGTTGACCTTGAATCACTCTCAAAGGATAATTTACGCATGTTCCATTAACGAACCAGCAGCGGTGTCAATTGACGGACACGATTATGCTCAATGCAAATAAAGTCAACGCCTTGTACTTTCCATGGAAATAAGACCAAAGCACCTCACTTCTTTTTCGTTCGCAAACTCTTAAGTTTCTCTTTCCAATTATATATAACTCTTGATGTCCAACCATTCCTGACTGCTCCTCTTCCTCTTTCCCGTCATCCCTTTCTCCCCCACTAAAAGTTCCACGCTGCCATCAATGCCAGATAACTGTGTTATGGGGTTTCTCATTATTCCTTAATTATGACACGTTCTACAAAAGGATCTTGTACTTTTCTGCTCTTGGAACTCTGTTTATGACCAAACGTCCATCGTATGACAGTGATGCAAACACCCAAGGGTCAGCGGTTGACCACTCCACAGCATACACGCTATCCTCGTGTTCATCAAATGTTGCTATGACTCCATCTTTTACCGGCTCTCTGGATCTGGGAAAAAGAGCAAAACTAACGTCATTTTTTCCTTGCGAGCAAGCAACTGTTTGGGATAACACACGCTGCCAACCTGTGTAGCCAAGCTGCATTATATATGTTTCTTGCTAACAGAGTCAGCCACATTGCATGCTCTGACAAGCCACACCTCCAATACAGACTTACCCCTTGTCTTGTAAACCTTCGTCTTCATCTTCCTCATCCAGATGACCAAATGGCTCCGATGACAAAGACACAATGTTGTTTAGGATAACCCTGCTGTCACTGCTTGATGTCAGTAAAAGTTGATCATGGAAATGATTAAACCGCACACTCCACACCCTGAAAAGAGCAGCAAACACTTAGTCAATCAGTTTCAGTTTACAAGAGCTATTCTATCAGTCAGCCAGTCAGTCAGTCAGTCAATCAGTCAGTGAGCCAGTAAGTCTGTCTGTCTGTATGTCTATCTACCTGTCTGCCTGTCAGTAAGTGTCCTAAACAGTCACAATTGCTCAGTTAGTGAGTATCAGTAAGTCTGAGTGTTAGGCAGTCAATCAGTCAGTGAGTCAATCTGTCTGTCTGTCTGTCTGTTAGTAAGTGTCCTAAACAGTCTCAATTGCTCAGTCAGTGAGTATCAGTAAGTCTGAGTGTTGGGCAGTCAAACAGTCGGTGAGCCAGTCGGTCTGTCTGTCTGTCTGTCCATCTGTCTGTCAGTAAGTGTCCTTGACAGTCAATTGCTCAGTCAGTGAGTATCAGCAAGTCAGAGTTTTAGGCAATCAGTTAGTCATTCCAGTGCATGATGTGACCACGGACCATTCACCCTTCTCCTCACCAGTGTGAATGATCTTGTAATACCATCAGAGGGTCAGTAGTGTTCCTTGTGTCCCAGAACCGCATTTTGCAATCATCACCACAACTGACAACTATGTATTGTTTGTTTGGATTAAAGTCCAAGTCACGCACTAACTGATTATGCGCACTCTCAATTGTGTAAACAGGCCTGGAATGAAAATAACAACAACATTTTTAATTGGCAGAGCATAATATTGGGTGAGGTTCTTACCAGTTGAGTTTTGTGGTGACACTTGTACAATAAGAATTGCTACCAAGTGGAGAAATATTAAGATGCTTGTTGGATGTTTTTGTGTCATTTTGTTATGTCCCTGTGTTGGATTCAGGTTGGCCCACACAAGAGGGTGAGTAGGTCATTCAAACATGATAACTTCATGTGGTTCAATTACTGGAAATTGTGCTCCCACTAATAGTCTTACTTGTGATTAGAGTCAATTTATGGTAAAAGAACAGGAACAGAGAGTGAAAAAAAATATTGCCAAGTTAAGAAAAGCAAACTTACCTCATTGTCCTCACATCCCAACCTTTAATAGTTGTATCATTTGCAGTGGCAATCTGAGAACCACTGTGGTGAGGGTTCCATCGCCCTGTTGTGAACTTGGGTTGACCTTTACCCTCCAGCAGAGCAGAGTCAATTGACTATGGAATCAAACAAAGGTGGCCAATAAGTCCCTCATTTGTCTCCAGTGCCACTGCTCACCTTTACACCTTTTAAATTTGAATTGGCAAATGATTTGAAAGGCAAGAATGGTGCAGAGGGCTTCAGTCTGGGTCCAATTTCAGGGCATGGCATTTCATTTGGGTTAAGCCTGTTGTTGATTCTTTTCCTTGCTCAACGGGGTTTTCTTTGTATTCCTCCTTCCAAAAAAGCCAACTCTTAAATCTCAGTTTAACTTGAAATCAGTGGAAAAGAATCACTTCCTGAATGAGCCTTTGCTGAGTGCATTATTTTAATTCATTTTTTGTTCTTTTCAGGAGATGGGGGAAGGGGGAATGATTGTGTGATCTGCTCACATTCTGACCTTTATAGCTACCACTTCATTCCTATTACTGCTTGGTTCATTAGTTCTTTTTTGTTGTTTTATTTATCACTGAAATACCTCTGCAGTTGATGCACTTCTGTCCAGATCCCACAGGTCTAGATGTTGTTCACAAACAGTTACAACTTGGCTTCCATCACCAGATGGATTCCACAACACACTAGAGGAAAAATAAATATAGAAGTAAATTCTTCTCAGAAAAGTAAGAAAACAAACAACATGGAACCATTTGGGTGAAAATAAACTTCAAGTACATGTGTTCAATTGTATAGCAATCTTGCCTTAATTTTGTTGACAAAATTTCTCCTCATTCTGCCCTAACCTAGGATCAAACTTGTATTTGACAGCCCTCCTAAATACTCAACATTCCCCTTGAAAAATAGCTAGTGCTATTGTGCCCACCCCCTAGCCAAAGTAGACCTCTAAGATAGAAATAAGCCCAAGGGAATGAATAGAGCAGTTACATTGTGTGAACCAACCTTCTCATATTCTCATGTTTGTTGTCAAAATTGCAGATAAGTTGTAATGATCGAGAATACCCACTGCCAGGGGAGATTCCAGGTGAGTCTAAACCAGGGGGCTCTGTATCATCTACTGGGGGAATCCTCCATAGAGCACCATGTATTTCAGCTTTTGACTCAGACACTAGATTATTAAAAATATAATAATTACTTGTTTTGAGAAATGTACTATAAATTTCTGCCTAATAAAGAAGTATGTTTAGGAGACATTGAACAGTTTTTAGACCTCTATACTGCTAATGCTATCAATATACATGTCTATGAAGTGTTCTGTATATTCAAGGGGCAGCTCATTGGCCACAAGTGTATATTAGTCCTGGAACACCAAATCACAATGATAGACATGCACTGTACATGAACTGTGCTACTGTTACAGTGAAGATAGCTGCAATGATTCAGTAAAAAAGATCTTACCTTCGTTGTAACAAGTTGCTAAGAGAGTCTTATCTGTTGGACTAGTGTTCATTGACCTGGAATGTCAGAAATGGGAAAGAATCTTTAATTACTGGCAAAACTATCTCCAAAGAATATTATTCCTGGATAGAACAGTAATAAGTAAGAGAACAATAAGATCATATCAAGCTGAAAAACTGATGGAACATAAAAAATAAAACTGCATTGATGCACTGAACTCACCATATTTCTCCAACAGAATGCATAAACACATTTTTATTGATAACATTGCTTTCATCATCAAAGTCTATCAGATGGATCTGGAATTATAAATTCTAGCCTTTATTTCTTGGAGCAAATTTAACTTTAATTTTTAGCTTGTGTAAATAACCAGACCAACAGAGAAAAAAAAAATAGCATAAAGATTCACCTGATTTTCATATTTAAGTGACTGAGTTCCAACAATGAACCTTATAATGTCTGTTTCCGCATGCTGGGGGACCAGAGCCCGAGCCTATAATCAAAAAAAGTAACCAGAAGTTAGAGTAATTAAGGAAAGCCTCTTTTCTCTCTCTCGTTAGGCATCGAATCCCTATTACCATTTTTTCATCATATTCACAATTACTACCAGAATACTGAATTTCCCTCTTAGTATATATAAAATAGGAGAATTATATAATTGGATCTTTAAGGTAAATCGAGGAATTTCAAATTTTCATTGACGTGTGGGAAGTGACGAATATTATAGCATATTACCCTATTAAAAAAGAGATCGCCTAGTTTTATCCGGGAATTAGAAGTAATCACACGAATAATTAAATGCATAATTTGAATGATGCTTCCTCTCCTTAATTTGAGTCATCAAGAAGCTACTTACGTTCAGCTCTAGTCCATAAATAACAGGGGAATCGTCCTCCATTTTGAATTTAGACAGAAGCCGCTGAAGGAAACCTCGTAGGCTCAAGTTCTTTCAGTTCCAGTTCGTTCCGCGTGGCTTGGAAAGCCTGTCACAACACATAACGTCACGCACAGCGATAAGTTATTTTCCGAGAAGCTTCCCAACTGTACTAGTTTCCTATTAATCATGTCGTCGTTTGCACCACCCAGCAAAAAGGCCAAACGATCACACAGTAATGGAGCAGCAGCTAAAAGTGATGGCGATTTTTTTCCAGGTAAAGTTAGATGTGCATTAATTTCAAGCTTAATAAATTTTTCACCCAGCGGTTTTCGGTAGGGAAGGTCCCAGTAAGTTACAAGTCTTGAAAAATTTAGTTAAATAAGCGGTACAATTTCTTTTTTCTTGTACGAATCAGTCGCATATGTAAGATTATCTTCTATTGTGCGTTTTGTATTTGAATAACAACAACAACAAAAACAGTATTGGGAAGTTGGATAAACTCGAGCAGTAGGGCGTGTGACTTATCTGTTTTTGTGCCAAATTATCTGAATTTGGAACCTTTTATTGTTTTGTTACAGGAATAAACAAAATTGAATACAAGCCCGATGGAGGTCCAGAAGATAATCTGTGCTTCAAACACTACAATGCTCAAGAGGTAGTGTCAAACGTTTCGATGAAGAATCCTACAGCCAGCCCAATCGCAGAAGTTTAAATGTTTAAGTTAGACCCTCGATCAGTAGAAACTATCGTCACAAATTCCTTCACAATTGAAACTGAACTTTTTCAGTTCTAATTTCCCTTAGCTATTATAAAGAAATGGCTCGAATAAGTTTTAATGTGTACATCAGAATGAGTGTGAAATGTGTGCTGATAAAAGAAAAAAACAATCCTTTAAGTTTGCGTGACATGACTAAATATCACAATTTGTCAAATAATTTTTTGATTTTTTAAAATTTTATTCCCTTTTTTCTATTTTTGACTTTATTTTAGACGACTGGTGATATAATGAGGTATTGACATGAATTGACTCTAATCAACAGGTGGTAATGGGAAAAACAATGGAAGACTGGTGCAGATTTTCAGTCTGTTTCTGGCATACATTTAGAGGCACAGGTAGGATTTTGAAATATATAGCGCACTGTTAATCTGGTTCCAAAAGAAATGTTTAGTTTTTTGTACCCAAACTTTTTCAGTGTTCTTGAAGACTCTGCCAATGTCTTAATGTTCAGATTGTTGGCTGACACTTTAAATAGGCAATTCATCAGTTTACCATCCTTTGACTCCTGGCCTTTTAATGTCAAGCTATCAGCTGACATATAGATTGATCATATATCTACTGATGTATTGCATAATGATAACTGTGATATATTTGTAAATTTTGTTGTTCTTGCTGCTCAAGAGACAAATATGATCATTGCCTGTGCTCAGTTATTGGACAAAGTGCAAAGCTTTTAACCACCCACCCTAGATAGGACCATTCAATACGCCTTGAGTGTTTCATATACACTTACATGGCAGTTTTAGTGCACCTGAGGGAGCAGCTACATGGTGGTCCTAGGACATTTGTAACTCCTCTTTTTATTGAAAAAAATTGCTAATTCATAATAAAAAGATAACCTTACATTCCCCCCCCCCCTCCAATGCCAGTAAGATGCTAGTGTACTGTAACCTTACAAGAGAACCCCTTTTTTTTCTGATTGACCCTTTAACTCCCACAATCTTATTGTTGATACTTTCCTCTTTTCCGCTACTTATTTCCCTGTACATTAGTGACAAGAATTTGGTGATCAAGTAAGATAACAACTTCTGCCCAACAAGTTTGAGTATTCTCATTACCTGCTTGCCTGATGATGTATAGATATTATAGGAAGAAGTTACATGTTAATCACTTCTGGGAATGAAATGGTTAAGAGGAATTCATTCCTATTTCCCTCTGGTATATTTAATAGCCACATTATGAAGCACGTACTTCAGTATAATTTAAAAAATTATTATTTGACCAGGTGCTGACCCATTTGGTTTCCCAACAATTTCAAGACACTGGGATGATGGAAGTAACAGCCTGCAAAATGCAAAGAGAAGATTGAGAGCAGCATTTGAATTTTTTGAGAAACTTGGTGTCAAATATTACACGTTCCATGACAGGTAACTTGGTAACTCCTTGAAATTTTAATTACCAGCAAGTTAGCTTTCTAATGATTTAACTTCAGGAATGAATCAGGGACAGCTTGAGTGGTATCTTTCGTATTATTTCTAGATTTGTAAAGTGGTGGATAGTCTGCATTTTAATTTTTTTTAATATGTAGGGACATTGCCCCTGAAGGAGACGACTTGAAAGAGACAAATGCCAACCTAGATCAGCTTACTGATCTTGCCCTTGAATTACAACAGAAGACTGGAGTTAAACTACTCTGGGCAACATGCAACCTCTTTTCCAACCCAAGGTATTTGAAACTTTTTTTGGTCATACTTTTTACACCTTGGCGTAGGTGTTCTTGGGCACAGTTTTCTACCCTTACAGCTCCTCCATTAACCCTGTCCAGAAAATGTGGAAAATTTCTGGAGGGAGTGGTGACCTGCAATGGACTAGTGATAGCAATACAGATCCTATTGGTCAAAGAAGCCAAGATAAGCCCCAGCAGTGATGCAGTACAAGGTTTACTTAGTCTAAGAATGAAAATTAATGAGTTGTGGCGACTACTTTTAATAAGAAAATTGTGTTGTTATTAACAGGTATATGAATGGAGCAGCCACCAACCCTGATGCTCATGCATTTGCCCATGCTGCTGCACAAGTCAAGAAGGGACTGGAGATTGCTAAGAAACTCGGAGCAGAAAATTTTGGTAGGAGCTCAAATATGTTGAGGGTAAAACAACATGAATGCTGATATCTGTATGGGATTTGGAATTTTTAAAAGAATTGAAACTTAATAAGTTTTCAAGAACTCCAGTTGGAAAAAGAGTGAAGTCTAGAGTCATTTGCTTGGTGGAAGATAGACAAGATTCTTAGAAATCGTTATATAATGTCAATTATAATGACTTTGTTTTCAGTGTTCTGGGGTGGACGTGAGGGATATCACACGTTGCTTAACACTGATGTCAGACGAGAGCTTGATCACATGGGTTCCTTCTTCCAGATGGTTGTTGGTAAATATGATAGTAGATGATACTTTGAAATATTGGAAAAGAAAATTGATAATATTCCATTATCCAAAGTAGCAACCCAAACTAGAAATTTATTCTGTGGAAAGGGATCTTCATGTTGAGAAAGAATATGATACAAGTATTACTAATGCAGAGAAGTCCATATGTTGTGACGAAAGGCTGAATATTTTCCTGTCTGGATGGACATAATTCAGTCAATAAACATTTCATCAAATGGCTGCCACTCCTTTTTTTTCCCTTCCTTTTTGTACTAATCTATGATCACTGATAATTACTATTTTTGACATTTTCTCTGATGTTTTTCAGATTACAAGAAGAAGATAGAATTTAAAGGCCAGTTACTAATTGAACCCAAGCCTAAAGAGCCAACTAAACATCAGTATGATTATGGTAAGGAAATACCTGACATTCAACATGCATAAGTTAGTAACTACTGGAAAAAAGGATGGTTTGTAATAACACTTTTGCTGGGCTGCTCCCTTGGTTTTCCCCTGTTTCAAAGCTCTCCTGTTTGTCTGTTTGTATCCTCATGGGCATCCATGCTTCTGGCACATCTATATCATCGTCCTTCTAAGAGTTGTGAAAGTGAACTGTGATGTGCATGGCCTCTTTGATCCAGTGTGTGCAACAAAAAGATCACAATCAACAATTTAACAGCAGAGATTTGTGCCTGTCACAGCTGTCAAAATCATCCAATCTCAGTGGGCCATTATGCATTATAGGGTACTGTGCAAATACTTGACCTTTCTTCCAGATAAAGACTAGCAGAGTACAGAAAAAATGTTGCAATGTATTTCCAGAATTACCACAACAGCTTCATTACTAGTCATGCAAAGTTTTTTTTCTATTTGTAGACTCAAAACAAGAACATTGTAAAGTTTTATTGATCCTTTTTCAGATGCTCAGACAGTGATTGCATTTCTCAAGACTTATGGACTAGAGAATGATTTCAAGGTTAGTTTTTATCAAGACATGCACCATCTCTCAATTAACTTCTCTTCTTCCATTCATATCTGTATTTTATACTCTTGGAGAGAAGATCAAAAGGTAATTCAGTGTTGTTTAGATAAATAATGTTGTTTAGATGAGCACTTGGTGCATTAGTAAAAAACCTTAGAGAATTTCATATTTGCAGGAAAAATATTGTTGAATTTCTCAGTTAGTTATTTCATACCAAATAATAGGATTAAAAATGTTCTTGATTTCCTCTTTTTAATTAGTCACTTTAGTCCAGGACAGCTCAGAAGAATCATTTGATTACAGGTTATTTCCTAAATATACCACAGAGAATTTTTCAGTTTTGCTGATTTGTGTGCGATGTAGAGTTATGGTAATAACCAAAATCTGGGCGTGTCAATAAACGTGGCTGGGTCTTTCCACTTTTTCCTCCTTGTGTTTTTGAGTTATGGCGTAGCTGTTACGTCTGTTCGATATAGAAGAACAATTAGTGACAGCTGTTTCAAGTCTACAGTAACAAATACCCCTATTGAGAGCAGATTTTGATTGGTTGTCTGAACGACTGAAGTATCAACGTCTATTCTGCAGCTGAATATTGAACCTAACCACACCACTTTGGCTGGTCACAGCTATGAACATGATGTTGTAGTGGCCTCCAAGTAAGTTTTAGCTGTCTCTAGATACTTTGAGGAGGAATCGTAAGGGTGTACCTTGATTTTTTTTTTTAAGGTGCTCTTGCTTGTCGCGCTTACTTTTTTCTTTGTTTAGATTTGGATTTCTTGGATCCATTGATTCTAACACTGGGTCACCAGATCTTGGTTGGGACACCGATCAGTTCCCTATGGACATAAAAAACTGTACTCTTGTGATGAAGGTTCGTTCTATTTCTTTTTGATGTGAGGCAGTGAAGACCCATCAATTTTTTTGACAATCTCCGGCAGAGACGTGGGCGAATGTACATCGACAATGAAGAAACCCTTTCCAAGTTTTAGAGCGATTTAACCCGTTACACCCTAACACCAAAGGTTTTCTTTCCAACCGTCGTTATGAACATTCTTTCATTTTACATGTTGAAAAGAGCGGAAGATTTAAATCGCGGGTGGGTCTTTTCCATGTTAAGTTTAACCAGACGGTGATCGAGCCCACACGTTTTCCCACAATGATTTGACAACAAAATTTAAATAGTAAGTTGATGTCTTGAGGTTAAGTTCTACCATTAAAGGCCCTTATACGACTTGCAGCCATGCACCACTTGTCCATAATTTAAGGCCTCTCTTGTTTGAGACCAAAAGTATTTTGCTCTCATTTCCCTCAATACTTACGCTAAGTTCTGGTTACCAATCTTTTGTAGGCTATAATTGAACAAGGTGGTCTGGCACCTGGCGGACTGAACTTTGATTGTAAAATACGCCGTGAATCCACTGACCTTGAAGATATGTTCATAGCTCATATCGGTACGTGTGCGGTTTGTGGGAAGTGAAAGTCGAGAATGGAAGTGATTGAACGTCATAAAACTGACACCTGAGTTTTCACTGAGGGGTGTCAGGACAAATAAAAATATCTCTGCGAGCCAAATTAGCAACAAGCAACAGATTGGGAGGGGAGGGTTATGGACTAGACCGCGATTGGTTTTTGTGTTGCTTCTGCATGATTGATTCAGATGATGGTGTGAGTTTCCCCAAAACAAACTCAGAGTGCAGAAACGCGAAACAAAATTGATCCCGAATTACTTGCAAACCTCAACTGATTGTTTCTCGAATCCAAAATAATGATTATGACACGTCCATAACTTCTTTAGAAAGAACCTTCTGTATAAAGGTACAGCTGTATTAAAACAATTTCGATGATTCACGGTGGATGTCTTCGGGCTTTGATTTCTGCCATGTAACTCGGAAGCCAATGGATTTCTATTCGTTGAATATGTGGTCAGTTTGTTAAGTTAAAGGCGGGTTGTTGTATTATAGAGCCGGCATACCTTGACTCAGAAGAGATTGCAGTTAGACAATATTGATATTCTCTTGATTGCAGCCTGTGTTAACTTAAGAACGAAACAGTTACACGTACTTTAGAGTTAGGTTTAGCATTTTTTGGTGTTCAAATTTAACTTTTTATGATCTTCTTCACCCAAGAGTATCTTTCTCTTTCTTTTATTCATGATATTGAAATCTATAACTCTCACGTTCAGGGTTTTAAAATTCTATTTCTTCATTTTTCCGTGTGCACAGAATACTCCCCACGATCCCATATCCATCTCCCCTATCCAATTGTTTACAGTCTTTCGCACGCCATCTCTTCCACAAATCAAATTCTTACTTCATATTAGGTGCCATGGATTCATTTGCTCGTGGTCTTAAGAATGCTGCCAAACTCATAGAAGACGGAACATTGGATGCATTAGTTAGGGTCAGTTGACGGAGTATTCGTTAGTTAATGCCTTGATGATCTTTTTTTTGTCGCAAGTTTTTGATGTCTTATTCCTTTCTGTTTCTTTTTTCCAAAGCTGATTAAAGAAGGAGGAGGAAGTTCTTCCCAATAATGCATTCTCTCTAATTTGTTTTCCTTTGTTCGTTCAATTATTTTTTTGTTTGTATTTTATTCAATGAAGAAGGGTGTTCCCTTTTACCTCTCCTAGCGTCAAAAAGCAACCAGCTGAGAAAACCTGTCCCCTCCCTAGTGGTTCGCCGTTCCTTCCCGGTTGAATTTTAGAATTTTTATACTTGTTGATCTTAGCTTATGGTTTTGTATCCAAATTTGAAACGTTTAACTTTGCCTTGGTCTCGTCATCCGTGGCCTTTCTTGTTTTTTTGTTTGTTTGTTTGTTTGTTTTAGGAGCGTTACAGTAGCTTTGATAAAGGAATTGGAGCAAAGATTGAGAAGGGATCAGCTTCCTTGGAAGAGCTTGAGGTACACACAAAGTAAAAATTTCTAAGTTCAAGACCTTAACTTCCTACAGTAGAAATTCCAAGCAATTTTAGCCCATGCAAACCGTTCACCTGAGGTGTCATATGGCAAATTTGTTTATATCCTTTTATTATCTCAATAAATTGTTCCTTGGTTTCTCTTCATTTCTAGGATTACATTTTGGAGCACGGGGAACCAAAAATGATATCAGGAAAACAGGAGAAATATGAAGCGATTGTCAATTTTTTTGTATAGATGGATAAGCTAGGAAAGCTCCACATCTTGAATACTCGAGAAGCAGTGAGAATTGAGTCCGTGAATCGGTTTGATAAACACGTAAAAGCATCAATAATTATTTAAGGAGACGCAACATGAATTGTTGAATCAGTGCGTGGTGAAACAGTAACCGGGTCGAATCATGTTTTAAGGCAATCTAGTTTTTTGCTTCAAATAAATTAAGTCAGTATTTCTCAAGTGAACAATTTTGTTGTGTTCATACCTTTATCTGCCAGTTCAGATGAACACAACGGTCAAATGTCAGGCGTGCGCAAGTGGTTCAATGGGTGATGCGTCTATTTCCCGCGCAGAATTTCAAACGAAAGCAGAAGAAACGACCACTGTTGCGCAGAATATGCGCAAAAAATTGAATTAATCAGAGAAATTTGTAAATAGAAATAAGAATTAGGAAAGGAAAAAACTCTAGACTTTTCAACGCGAAGCTTATTATTAAACAAGGGGTATCTTGAGGATTTCACATTTTGTTTTGAGTTTTACAACAAAGTGGTGCGGTTTTAAAATACCGTGTCTTAAAGGACCTATGAGGTTGGTTGAACTCTTTGGCGAAAAATTCGTTATGACTGCTTGAAAGCACTTGCCTTCCGCTCGTGCGCCTGCGTTTGACCCCTGTGTTGCTCCGATTTATCGCTATGTTACACCACATGAATTTGTCGACCGCTGACTAATACTTTTTGCACAAATTCAGCGAAATGGGGAACAAAATGGCGCCCGGATTAAAAAAGAGTGCCGTCTTTTCCAAATTATATCAACGAAGCATCGCATATTCGTTTGAATGGATCACAGAAAAAGTATTCACAAGGAAGACAGACGTACGATTACATTTTGAGAGGTGATACGTGTTTATTTACTTCCTAAACAAGCTCATCAGTACTCTAAAATTGCACTTAGTTGATAGCTAATTTGAATTGTCAAAAATGCATGAAAATCAACCATTTGGAGTTCGCTTTCATGTACACATATAATTAGAGGTATCGTTTTTATTTATTATGATTATCATTATTATTATTATCACTATAATTTGTGATTTTTTTATGGAAAAATTTCACAAACATCACCAAATCTTGCCGCACTACGATATATCAGTTGTTATCGACCAAGAAATAACAAAACACTGAATTGTTCGAATTTATATCGAAAGCATGCAACTTTGCCGCATTACACATGACAGCTAAGGAAGCAAAGGAATGATACATTTCAGTCTACCAAGCCCTCCGTCCTTTATGAAGAACCTCCAGTCTAACGAGAAACTACTACCTCTAGGGAGGAGAATGAACTGAAAAAGGTGGAAAACTGTAGTTCGCTTACTCATCAGGTTGGAGTAGTATTGCTCACAGCTAAACGATCTCTATTTCAAAGCCATGTGTCGTGATCAATTTCAAGTTACACAAAGTTTACCGCACAACTCAGCGCTTATCACAGTTGTAGTTTTGCGTCAATTCTGTAATGTAATGATCACTTTACCGTCACCTTTGTTGACACCCGCCATGTTCTGTTGATTTTTGCCGCTATTATACGAACCCCCTCCCCCTGCCACCCTAATGTTGGGGCTACTTAAAACTCCCCCCCCGGAGTACCCGCCCCCTCCACCCCCAGCCTTTAAAGCATAACCTCCCCCACCGAATCCCCCTTGGGAAACCGGGCATTTCCCTCCAGTTCCACCGTGGATGAAACGTATTGAAAAGCCCCGTTTTCCCCCTCCGTTCCCTAACAGTCCTGCTCCTCCTCCCCCAGGGATCTGGAGATCAACCATTCCTGTGTCAGCATTACAGAGATTTCCACCATACCCTCCTGCCCCTCCACACCTGCCACCATTCTCTGTTGACTGACCCGGATCGCCGTTTTTAAATTGTTCCCTCGGTATTCCCCCACCCCCTCCTCCACCAGCAATTATCAGTGGAGTGTCGTCAGGGAAAGTCACAAAACTGCCCCCGCCCCCACCCCCTGGCCTTTCACGAAGGTAAGGGTCCGTAGTACGATTACCCTCCTGCCCTACTAGTATTTTAAGCTGAGTTCCTTTCTGAAGCTGAAAGGTTCCTGTCATTCTGGCTCCTAAACCACCGGTCCTCCATGAACTTTTATCCTCGTCATATGTTCCATTAGCGCCAGAAGCACCAAATACTTCGATGACGTAGCTTCCGGTCTCGGGAACACTCCAAATTTGGATGCCATCGCTTACAGTGACACGGCCTTCTAACGGTGTTCCTACATACCCCAATGTGTTAGTCGGCCCAGTTTCTCCTCTGGCTCCCAGTGTTGAGAAAACAAAGGTTTTGCCTGAGAAATGTGTGAATTAAAGGCTAGCTAATGTTTATGGAACTCTAATGCGCAAAAATCATCTCGGGCAGGTACATTTCTTAAAATAGTCAGAACTTTACTGATCTCTAAAACAATATGTTCTCTCTCAGTGGGAATAATTTGTTTGCCAAGATGTCTTTGAATCAAATTTAATCTTTCAAGGCCTCCTAATTGAGCTGCCTAGTAATCTTAGCAGTGGCATGTTACCTGAGTTTGCTGGCTCCCCAAAAGATTCATTCATCCTTTGACCCTAAAAAGAGAGAAATTCGAGCTTAAAATCATTCTATTTTGCCAACTATGCCTTGTTTTAAGGCATAAAAAAGCTGGAGAAGCTGTCTGTGGCAGCTAACTTGGTGGACTTGTTTATTTTCGGTCGAAGGCAAAATTCCGAGGAAGAGTTTGCTTTAACTGCAGGTTTTACTGACCGTAAGATCAAGCATCTGGCCAAAGACATATCCAGGCATTGGTACAAGGGACGGCGCATTAACCTTTGCACGGTCTGTTCCGTCATCGTTCAATTCACAAATCATGTTTCCTTCTATTTCCCCATAATTTACTGAGCGGCATAGTGGACGGCTTCTCAAGCAGAGATGAACGCAGGATAAAGCACTGGACGCCTTCTGACGATCTATGACATGACCGGTTAGGTAATAACCTTCCTCAGTTTGAATGAAAGTTGAGTGGCCCTTTTTAGCTGATGGTGAACTCAGTACTGCAGTCGTGAAGGTCAATGGTACAACGAGGACGCTCATGTTTGCACCTGTTAAAAGCTGAAGTAAGAGAAGTCGTCTATACAAATTGAACCCAGATTGAAAATCGGGTTCCCCCCCTTGGCATCATTTGGTTCTCTTTGACGAAGTCTGCCTGCCAAATTCGCAAGAATGAAGTCTCGTGAAACGTGCCTCCCTTTTCGAAAAATTTTATGGACGAAAAACTGAGTAGAAAAGGAAGGTAATGGTTATTAATAACTGCATACTACTGGAAAAGCGTTGTCGCTGTGTATATATCAATCAACTAATTTATTTGGCTTTTTTTAAAACCCCTGGCGCCTATTGCTTTTAGGGCGCACTGTTCAAATTTTCTCTAGGCTGTGCGATTGTTTTTAACAAACCAATAAACTTTGCTAAATACAACCTAGAAAAATGGATTACATTTCCTTATTAGGGAACCTTTTCTTCTGTTTTCCGCAAAATCTGAAAATTCACAGATAAGCTTTAAACTTAATGCCCTCCGCTGTTTTCGTTTTAATTGCAGAAATATACTTATGTTTGGACGAGTTTTTACAAGGAACTGATTAATATAGATCAAACAGGCGCGCATAGATCAAGCTACTGTTTCGTTCAGATGTGAAACGAATTGTCTTTTGATTTAGCGTTGAAATCCCTCATGTAATCGAGAAAAAAACGTCGATCTTTAGCTTGCAACTTAAGGGAGTACCTGAACACCATTGCTTCCACTAAAAGAATAGCCAGAGATAGGACTGAAAAGTTTTTTACAAACGCTTACCTTGCCTTCAGTTTTGTGGCCCAAATTACCTTCCACTCTTCGAGGTAGCAATAGTAAACCAACTGATGCCTGTGTTATGCAACTTTTAACTTGAAACAAGGGAACAGCCTCTCTTAACGTGTTTTAATTTTTTTAATTTGGCATACGTGACGACAGGTACATAACTTACACCTTTTTAAATAAACATTGAATGACATTACTCTCTGCACGTTCTACCTTAAAAGTCACAGGGAGGGTAACCCACCTACTTGACCACATTGTCACTATTTCGCATCTAAGTATTTTTCTCCTTTCTCGTTAATGGTCAGTCCAGGCCGATACAATATTTTGCTTATTGCTCAGTTAAGTTTGAGGTTGTTCTTGACTCCAATTTTTTTGGCTAATTAAATAACTGGCTATCTGTCATATTTATGCCATAATAATCTTCTTTAATCGGTACTGATGAATGATAGTTTTTCATTCATTCTTTTTTTTTTCTTTTTGCAAAGTAGCTGAGTATTTAAAGTCAGGCCAAAATAGTAAAATATGATTTCTTGAACGTTTTCGAGTCTTTCTTACAGAAAACCTTTGGGTGCAATCTCTCATCAAACTACAAAACTCAACTCACTTTTAGATGGTAGTTGGTAACAAAGATAAACAGCAGAAGGAAAAGTGTATTCATGGACTGAGGGGGTGGGCTGTAAGCCTCTTTATAAGGTATTAGTTCTATGGAAAAGAAATTTTAAGCTAATTAGAAAGAATAAGACTGGTTTGTTTACTTTTAAGTGGTTTGATGTTCGGATGGAAGAAGCTTTTATTTGTATTAAAGAAGCGAACAGTACTTGTTATTAGCAGCTTAATATTCATATAAGCGGGGCAGCTGTCATAATTTGCAAATGTCCCGAAGCTGCATGGCTAAAATTTAATTAGGGTTTTGACAGGATCGTTGATCCATCTACTGACAGGTATTTTTTAATTACTAGGTGAATTTTTCTTGTTTGTTTAGAATTACAAGAGGACCGCTTACAGCCCTTTGTGAAAAGTAAAATTAACACAACAAAAAATTGAAAAATTTACGCTAAGAAAGTTTCCCATTTGATAAATGTAACTGAGGGAAGAAAGTTTGGAGCGAAACTAGTGAACTTGACCCGGTCGTAGAGTTTTTGGATTACTACGACTTCAAACATTGAAAACCTCGATGGTCCTGGATTTAACCTTAAAAAATACCATCACTGATTCCAATTTTGTTCTCTATACTCAATTGATCACTCGGTTTACAGCAGGGATACCTTTAAATTCTTAGCGAAGGTAGTCCGCCAACTCATCAATAACTCAACTGTTCCACATCAAAATACTGTGTGTTTTATTTTCTATTTATTTTCAAAGAACATTTTACTGTGCAGTAAAACATTTTTACAATAATACCTTCATTTCAAACTGACTCACATAAAATTACATCCCTGACACGATATTTATGCCGTATTAATAATTACAAGGACTTATTCCAATACCATGCCTTCTCCATTAACAGATACGGTACCTTAAAGCGACGGTAATTTCTAACACAAGGCCGTCTGTGTATAAGCCATTAATCTTGGATGTTCTAATACATACTACGGAAACCGTTATCAGTGAGGAGAAAAAAACAATCCAAGTTATAACAAATGTTAGGTTTTGTTTATTCGCACCGATATTATATGACGATCCCCAATTTTCCCCCCCATTCCCCTTGTTAACACCGCCTGGTTTTGTTTATTCGCACCGATATTATACCCCCTCCAGAATACCCCTCCCACCACCCCCACCACCACCACTCTTAACTCCACAACCTCCCCCGCCGAATCCTCCAATGGATGTTGGACTGCTTCCCCCAGTTCCACCGTTAATAAAACTCAAAGACGGTTTCACGACGCCTCCCCCGCTCCCATTACCATTAAGCCCAGCTCCCCCTCCTGATAAGACATTACACGGCCGTCCACCAGTCCCTCCCGTCCCGCCACACCTGGTACCTTTCTCCGTCGCTTGGCCAGGCTCACCGTCTTTGTACTGCTCAATTGGTGTTCCCCCCCCCCCTCCCCCGCCGGCAATTATCAGAGGAGTGTCATTTAAATAAGTCACAAAACTTCCCCCACCTCCACCCCCTGGCCTTTCTGCGAAGTCTGTGGTACGATCACCTTCCTGACCCACGAGGATTTTAAGCTGACTTCCTTTGTGAAACTTCAAATATCCTCTCAGTCTGGCCCCTAAACCACCGATCCTCCATGAACTCTCATTGACATCTGTTCCATTAGCGCCGGAGGCACCAGACACTTCGATGACGTAGTTTCCGGTCACGGGAACACTCCATATTTGGATACCATTACTCAAATTGACTTTGCCTTCCAGTAGAGTTCCTATATACCCGGATGTACTCGTTGGGCCAGTTGATCCTCTGCTATTCAGGGTCGTGAATACATACTGGTGCTCTGGAACGATAAAGGAAATACGCGAGTGGTGTGCAACAGGAAATAATTTGTTTCCTGGTAAAAGATGCAGTCTTACCTCTTGATATTTCTAAATCTTGAGAGACTGCAGCCTAAGGAAAAGAAAAGAACAAGTACTTTTCTAGAACAAGCAAAAAAATTAAAATTCATTAATGCACAAAAGAAGAAAGACCTAGAAACTATGGTGAAAAACATTTTTACATGTTATCTTAAAAAAGATTATGTGTTCATATATTGTTAGTCTGTGCCATTGTGAACATGCTGGGTGCAAATTATATGTAGTTCACATTTTCTTTCAAACTAAAAACACGTGCAATACTCACACTGATATTCAGCAGCTGATGAAACGAATATCCTCTCTTGCGAAACAAAGTGGTTTTGTCTGTGATCCTGCCAACATCAGCTGTTTCTTTGTTCAATTCACACATTCCATTTTTTCTGTTCTCGAAATTGAACGACATACAGTTTGAACGCACTAAGCAGAGCTGTGCGCATGCCAAAATGTTATGCGTCCGCTGATAATGAATAACATTTCCTTTAAGCACGTAGCCATCTGTAGAACTGAGTATTGATGAGCGACTCACAGCAGTTCTTATGATTACCATGCTGATAGCGGAGGGGTGAATCATTAAAATGACCAGGACACTGACAAGCAGTGTCGTGTAAGATGTCATGACGTTTGATGTCGTCTAACTGGGAGAGAAAAAAATCAATGGTACTCATTACAACACGGACTAGATTGGAGAATAAGCTGAAAAGTGGCCAAGTACAGGGAATAAATGTTGTTTTATTTTCCATGAAGCATATCACAGATATTTTGCAAGACGCGTTAGGTTTGAAATCTAAAAACAAATCCAATTAATTTATCAGATCAACGTGCAAAACTTTTTGAAACAGGTACATTCCACAGCCGGTCACTGAACCTAAATAACTTGTCGCATTTCATAAAAAGTACTTATCATTCGGGCTAAAACATTTAAATCTGATAATATTCATTTACGACATTTATCTCTGTTTGCGTAGCTTGGATTTTGTGTCTTAGGCTGATTTTTGTAATACACTCAATTAATTTCAACTCCATTAAACAAAACTATTATCACTACCTTCTGCAATTGTAATTTGAAAATGATATAAATTATGATATTCGGATTTCCTTCTCTTACCAAAGTTGCTGCGAGTACAATATGATCGCTCTTACCTTCTTGCTTAATTTTGGTTCAAAGGCTCCACTTCTCGACTTTGACGCAGAAATTTAAATTATTACTCGCCACACGAATATCCGATGATGGGTTTACTTTTTGTCATCCCATATCTTAATCCACAGTGTATGCAACTGTTTTAAAAGTAAGAAGAACCGAACACCTTGTCTGTAACTTAGAAACACTGACTTCCCCGAAAACATTTTGCCTGCCGATATTGTTTATCGTGCTACATTATTATATTCATTAGATGGCAGATATTTGTCATTTTAGTTGTTCGAGAACCTGAATGTAATCGTTTTTCAGATTAATTGTGCTGATCGGCTTTCTATGAAAACAATGGGATGAGAAAAAGCCTTTGAGTAATTTATATTCTTCGATCAAAAGGACAATCGAATTTTTCCTGAGCGAATTTTTATTGGTGACTTTGAAAAAAAAAAATTGGGGAGGTAATTTTCATATATAATGCACGTTACGGGGATGTATTTGATGTGCTTCGATTTTGGTTGGTTAACCATCTGCTGATGATTGACATAAACAGTGCCTGCCCAGAGGGCTGTGCAAGAAAGGCCAGGATTTTACCAAACGCGAATGGAAGGGGTATTTGAAAGTGAAAGACGCATTTGTGGAGAACCATCTATTTATCAAATCTAGAACATAGTTTGTACGAGGCAATTTAATTTTTAAGTTGGTCAGTGAAATCTACTCAGTCCATTTTTAAAAATCAACATGGAAATGGCTTGTTCTGCTATTTTTAGCCTGCTGTGAAGGTGGACGAGACTATCTGCTATTTAGACCACAATTTTATTCGATGACAAAAAAAAAAACAAAAGCAACAGTTGAAGAAACTGCTATTAAATACATCTTAAAGCAATAACAGAGTTGGGGAGAGTAACTCTTAAGCTTGGAGACTAATGAGAATGATGATACGTTGGTGTCTTCCGCCATTCAATTACCATGAGTGCCATCACTATTATTGTTATCATCGTTTTTATTGTGGCTTCCACCTCAAGGCATTTCATAGATGCCTTCAATCAATCATGAACATGGTGGAAAGACAACGTATGTCAATTACTAGGCAACAGCTTTAGATCTTTGTTAAGAAAAAGGCAGGCGCATTTCAACTTCGTTTGGCGAGTGACTCACAATTAACTGTATAACTTACTAGGTGAGTCAAGGGTTACTTCTTTCCAACAAATTATCTGCACATGTGCCAAGTTACTTAGAAATCCATACAGCGCGTGGAAACTTGCTTCAGTTCTTTAATGTGATAATCACTTTGCCGTCACCTTTGTTAACACCCGCCTTGTTCTGTTGATTTGTACCAATATTATACGAACCCCCTCCCCCTGCCACACCACTTGAGAAACCCCTCAGAACTCCCCCACCGGAATAACCTCCCCCTCCCCCACCAGCCACAAAGCTAAAGCTTCCACCACCGAATCCCCCTTTGGATACGGGACACATTCCCCCAGTTCCGCCGTTAATGAAACTCAGAGAACTGGTTATCGTAAGCCCACCTCCCCCTCCCCCGTTGCCTTTGAGAGATAAGATACCAGGGTCCACATTCCCTGTATCAGCATTGCAAGGTTGGCCACCATTCCCTCCCGTCCCACCACACCTGGTGCCATTCTCTGTTGCCTGACCGGGGTCACCGTCTTCATATTGCTTTTTAGGTGTCCCTCCACCCCCACCCCCACCAGCAATAATTAGCGGAGTGTGATCTAAGAGAGTAACAAAAGTGCCACCACCCCCACCCCCAGGCTTATCACCGAAGTCCGCAGTACGGTGACCCTCTTGGCCAATAAGTATCTTGAGTTTGGCGCCTTTTGCAAGAGTGAAAGTTCCTTCCATCTTGGCTCCCAAGCCGCCGATCCTCCATTCGGACTGATTGAAATCTGTACCATTGGCACCTGAGGCACCAAATACTTCGATGATGTACCTTCCCGTCACTGGAACACTCCAAATTTGGATGCCATTACTTAAAGTGACTTTGCCGTCTAGTGATGTTCCTGCATACCCGGATGTACTAGCTGGTCCAGTTTCTTCTTTGCCATCCAAGGTTGTGAACTCAAACTTAAAGGCTTTTTCTAAAAAGTTGTAATATTTTGTTATTCTAACAATTGTGGACAAGCTAATATGTGGATATAAATATCTATGAATATGCTAAAAGAAAAAAAAACAGGTTATCTCGGAAACCATTTGCACTTGAAGGACTAGTCTTCAAATATTCAATTTAGCACTTGCCAAGACTATCAAAACTATGCTGAACAAATCGTGTTCCACCATTACGGGCCATTTAATAAAGATAACGTCCTTGAATTAAGCGCGAATCCAAACTGGCTGATATTAATTTTGGTGACGGGCAAGTTTAGTAATATTGTATTACCTGTGTTTGTTGTCCCCACAAGAGATTCATTTCTTTTATGACCATCCTGAAAAAAATAAGACAAGAGACCTGAATTTAATGGCCATCTTTTTGTAACTTGAAGTTCTTTTACCTTGAACGTGTATTTTCTCTTTGCGATTTCATAACGGTAACCTGCCAGCAGTTAATGAGAATTCGGAGACAGACTAATCAATTCAAGACAACACTCATTTACAAGGAAATGTAACGTAGCGAGAAGTAATAATTTTAGGTTAAAGATTGATTACGTTTATCGCGACTGTTTTTCCGACGTCAGACCACTGAGGTCTACCGCTCCAAACATTATATTTTTGTCTCGTTGTTTCTAACCTCGATCAAGTTCTAGTCGATAAACAGCAAAAACATCTACTTACTCTCCATCACGGAACAATAATTTTAATTGAAACTCGTCACCATAAGCAAAATGATGCTCCACTTTCCTTATTTGCTTAGGTTCGACAGCTAATTATCCAGAGAAAGACTAACTTTAACGGACATTTACTAACCGTGAGATTAAACAACTGTCCAAAGATGAATCCACGCATAGGTAAAAGGGACGCGGTATCATCTCCAGCACCTACCATTCCTTTATCATTTAATTCACAAACGAAGTGCACGGATGTTGCTTAGTAATGTGAAACATTGGAAAGCTAAGCAGATGTTCATTTTCAAGAATTTTGCGTCATCGTCTTTTCAGTTAGAAATGTAAGTTTTCCATACCACACATTTCAAGAGTTCATGTCTTCAGTCCGCAGTATCTAATCGAAAAGAAGCTTGAAAGCTACAATCACGTTAAATAAACCCCCAATGTTCCCGCTTTAGTTACAAACGTATACAGAAATGTTTCGGTGAACGATTGTTGCGACGAAATTCGTAATAAGAATCAAACACAGACTCGCACATTAATCAGACAGGAAAGTAAAGCCAACAATCACCGGCGTTTGGCCGTTGTTGAGAGCTTTAAGGCTTAAAGCCGAACAAGCTGGTGCCCAAACAGGAGGGATTTCAAAAGGATGAAATTATCCACAAATAACTACCTTTCTTTCACTTTTACGGCCCATATTTCTTCTACCCATTGAAGTTAACTACTAGTAGACTAAAGGATGCCTGAATTAAGATAAAGAAGTGTTTTCATTGGAAGTTCGAAAGCTGCTATTTTCCAAGGAAGCAAAAGCTATAAGTTATCACGTGGTCAAGACTTTTAAGTGATGCGATTCTAAACATCTCTCAAGAGGCTATTCTTGACGAATGCATTTTAAGAAGGAGCCCACATTTTCCTCTACCTTCCCAGAGTAAGTATTCAAATAAATAATAGAAAAGTCTTTTGGGAGGAGGTTCCAATTGGCCTCTGCTTTTGTTTCGCTTTGGCTGGCGACTGGTTACTTCTGCTGCGAAAAGCTAAATTCTTCAGCCGAACAGGAACTAATAGATATTTCGACTTCGCTTTGACAAACCTTTGAATCTGCTTTTATAGTCATAGTTACATGTATTTAAAAACGTTAGCAATCTAAGAAGCGAAAATTACCTGATGTTTGGTTATGTAATCCTGCTTTTGTATTCGTCTTATTCCAGAGGTTGAATGCAAAAGATTGAGTAAGACAACCTTTAGTTGTCCCTTAACAAGCTTTAATATCAGGTTTTGACAGAATCATCGATCTGTCTGCTGACAGGCGTCACTTAAAAGTAGTATGTAATTAGTTAAAACTATTTTGCGCCCATATCATGAGTTACCCGGCGATCGCTTACAGCTAGATAATAATCTCTGCAAGAAAGAGGAATTAGAAAAAAAAGAAAAACTTAAGTCCACAATGGTTTCCTCTCGGCTGAATAAAAGTACAAGAAGATGATTGGGAAAGAAACCGTTGGACGTTTGATTATGACAGATGTCAAAAATGCATATACAGGTGTCAAAAATTGCTAATCAGAATAATTAAGGGAACTTCCCGACACAAGGTGTTTTGCGGTAACCTGACCAAAGTGTCGCAAGTTACTGCTCTTAAATGAAATTTTATTTCCACCCGGCTTTGCAAGCTACATCTTAAAAGTCTGCCAATTGAGAAAGTTCTACAATTTATATCAATTGAATTGATGTAACCTGAACTGAAAATTAAATTTTTCGTGGTTAGAGTCCGGCGTTTATTCGAGGGCGCCGTTTATACGAGGGCGGTGTTTATTTAAAATCCAATTTATTTCTTGCGAACAATAGTATGGTAACTGACCATTTTAATTTTAAGAAACGGAAATATGTTTTAGTGCTTGTCTGAAAAGTCATTTTTATATTGTTCTCAATTTCACAATTTGCATGTTAATACTACTGCAACACACGAAGTAAAAGGATATCTATTGTCGAATATGCTTTCTCGACATCAGAACTGGTACATTCAAAAAAATTTGTGTCTGGTTCATTTACTGGTTCAAGTTTCCATCTGCGATCGAAGCATTGATCACTGGGAGCTTTTCGAATCTATCATTCGATTAAACACCGCATCATGCTGCGGCGTTCATTCGAGGGCGGCGTCAATTCGAGGGCGACGTGTAATCGAATATATACGGTAATTTAAGGAACTTTCATAGTTCTTGATATTAAAATTGATTCCTTTTTTATTACCTCATTAAGGTAGAAAGCCTATCGAACCACATTTCCTATCTCTATTGACGATGTTAACATCATAGATGTCTTTTTTTGTGTTCACACTGCCTTCGCCAACGGTAGAACACAAAGAATCTGCCAAATGGGAACTTTCCGTATCCGTTGGATAACCACCCGCTGAAGATTGACTGAGACAGTGCCTGCTGATAGCAGTGCATATTTTTCTCTGTCGCTTGAGGGCTGTGCAAGAAAAGCCAGGACTTTACCAAACGCAGAAGGGAAGGGGCATTTGAAATCGGAAGACGCATTTGTGGAGAACCATCCCTTTTTCAAATCTAGAACAAAGTGTTTACGAGGCAATTTAATTTTTAAGTCGGTCAATGAAACTTGCTTAGTTCATTCTAATAATCAACATGGAAATGACTTGTTCTCCTACTTTTAGCCTGCTGTGAAGCTGGACGAGACTATCTGCAATTTAGATCACAATTTTATTCGATAACAAAAAAAAAGCAACAATAACAGCTGAAGCAAACTGCTACTGAATACATCTTGTGCAAAGCTACTTAGAAGTCTCTACAGCGCGTGGAAACTTGCTTCAGTTCTTTAATGTGATAATCACCTTGCCATCACCTTTGTTAACACCCGCCTTGTTCTGTTGATTTGTACCAATATTATACGAACCCCCTCCCCCTGCCACACCACTTGAGGAACTCCCTACAACTCCCCCACCGGAATACCCTCCCCCCCCCCCACCAGCCACAAAGCCACAGCTTCCACCACCGAATCCCCCTTTGGATGTGGGACATATTCCCCCAGTTCCGCCGTTAATGAAACTCAACGAACCGGTCATCGCACTCCCTCCCCCGTTGCCTTTGAGCCCAGCTCCCCCTCCTGCTAAGATATCAGGGTCCACATTCCCTGTATTAGCGTTGCAAGGTTGGCCACCATTCCCTCCCGTCCCACCACACCTGGTACCATTCTCTGTTGCCTGACCGGGGTCACCGTCTTCATATTGCTTTTTCAGTGTCCCTCCACCCCCACCCCCACCCCCACCAGCAATAATTAGCGGAGTATCGTCTAAGAGAGTAACAAAAGTGCCACCACCCCCACCCCCAGGCCTATCACCGAAGTCCGCAGTGCAGTGACCCTCTTGGCCAATAAGTATCTTGAGTTTGGTGCCTTTTGCAAGTGCGAAAGTTCCTTCCATCTTGGCTCCCAAGCCGCCTATCCTCCATTTAGACTGATTTAAATCTGTACCATTGGCACCTGAGGCACCAGATGCTTCGATAATGTACCTTCCTGTCACGGGAACACTCCAAATTTGGATGCCATTGTTTAAAGTGACTTTGCCGTCTAATGATGTTCCCGCGTACCCGGATGTACTAGTCGGTCCATTTTCTTCTTTGCCATCCAAGGTCGAAAAGACGTACCTGTGCACTGGAACAAGGAAGAGGAAATACAGATGTCATGAATTTTAATTTCACAGAGAGATTCACAATATCATACTATAGAATTTGTATCTTACCTTTTGATTTTCCACTGGATGGATCGGCAATTGAATCCTGCATAGAATGAAAGATAAGCTTTCTCATTATATTTGCTTGTATTACGATTCTGGATTTGTGATTCTTGAAGTGTCAGTCGACAAGTCATCTGATGATCGCGGTGGAGCAGTTTTATTTGACCATCTAGATTCAAGTCATAAAATGGTATAGCCAGTATTCCAGGCTCTTAATGAGTGGAGACAAGCGACAGAGCGGCCAAGCGACAAACGACGGTTCAGGTTGTCGGGGAAACGTGCATGTTTGATGGCCTGGTCCACCTCGTGTTTCGCGCGCCCGGCCTTTTCGCTCGTACCCACCGACCAAGAGAGACTGGCGCAGGAAGCTGACACATTGGTTTCAACGTTGATTATACTATTGCGTACATCAATTTAAGTGAACGTTTTCTTCCCCTATTTCTACAAATTGATACAATAATGCAATCTGACCTTTTTGTTGCAGTGATGTTAAGGTGTCCCCCACTCCCATTACGATGTTGAGTTTCATCCATGAAACCATGCGGGTAGATTTCAACGTCATTAATTTTCGGGGGTAGAGGGAGGGGCTCAAAGGGTGAATGGAACTTAAGGACTATCACATGAAAAATTGATTTATTGAACACCTCGAGTACTTTCGCCTTTAATTATAGCAATAATACTCACGCTAATGTTCACCAGCTGATAAAACGAATGTCCTTTCTTTGAAAATAGCATATTTTTGTCCATGATCGTATAATCATTCGATGTTTCATTGTTTAACTCGCACACTCCATTTTTGGTATTCTCAAAATTGAAGGACAGGCAATTCGGACGTACCAAGCACAGTTGTGCGCATGACAAAACGTCATGAGTCCGCTGTTTATGAATGACGAATCCCATGAGCACGTGACCCTCAGTAGAGCTGATTAACGATGAGCGACTCTCAGCAGTTCTGACGAGTATCATTCTGATAGGGAGGGGGCAAGTTTTTAAAATGGCCAGAATGAGAATAAGTCGTGTTGTTTCAGTTGCCATCGGAGAATTCTGCCAGTAAAGGAGAAAATAGAAAACTATTACGAGTTTAAAGAAAGTGATGAATATACCACTGACAAGATAAATTCAAAATTATTAAACAATTGTAGCAACGAGGAAGTATCTCCTAGGGAGAGCTCAGTTAATTTAAATTTCATTTTAAGGCGAGCCCTAAAGTAGATCCTTATCGGAAATGTGTACGTGTGAAACTTTCATGTAAACATCATCTCTAACAATCCTTGGGTATCCTCAAACAGCTATGCTGTTAAATTCGGTTTAAAAGATACCTTAGTCAAAGATAGTGCATTTTAATGTTCCTAGAGACGTATAAGCGTCCCATATCTCCACAAATGATACTCATTCCTTGAGAGTTATGAAACATTTTTTAAGGTGGTTGCGACAGGAAAGTTTTTGAGTCACTAAGAGGATTTTAACCCAGGACCTATAATTGTAAGAGATGTAGAACTTACATTCATCAGCAAAGCTTCTGGGTTTATAGACCAGATCGCCATTTAAATTGATTTTTCAGCCTTAAAATATGAACTTCGCGTTTTTTCACGTGTAAGCAAGCGACCTCTGACCAGGTATTGTTTTGACCTCAGTCACTGTAACTACTTAATTATGTTCACACTAAAAACGTGTACTTTACAGCTGGAAACTAATGCGGCGGAAAGCCTTACCTCTTTTTTTGTTAACGACACAAATTATTTTTGTTTTTTTATGTATTTACGTAGCTTGGGATAGTTCGTCCACAATCGGCAAAATTTGATGGAACGGGTCATGTTTGATACGATGACAACACCCTCAAAGATGACCAACCGGTCATCACAATAACTGTTTTACTCTAAAACTTTTAGTAACGTCTCACCCAGCTTACCATAAACGCTGTCATTAAGCACTCTTTCCTTTATCCTCGAGCTGATGATGAAACAAAGCCTGATTTGAATCGGACAAAGAAGAAGAACAACCGAAATCAAGAAGAGCCAAAAGAAAGAAAAGAGCTTTCTTGACCTTCTTTTTCCCAACGGTGATCCGAATGGTACTGATTTCCTCAAATTCCTTGGCTGTACTAATTTTGACAGGCTGTGAAAGCTGAAAATCTAATGTTTTGAATCCTAGAAACGTTGACTTTCTTTAAAATATTTTGTTTACAGAATAAAGTTGATACAAGTTAACTCTTTTTGTGAAGCCCTAAAATCGATTCTCTTATGAAGATACCCAAGATCTCCCGTATCTTTGATATTTTGAATTCGTTCGAGGGTTAAACCGCACTAGTTTGAATTTTTGAAAGATATTTAAAAACAGATGTCATTCGTTATCCTTCTTTTTTATTTCACACCAACTTGTGAGTATATAAATGTTTACGTAAGGGTAATAAATAACGCGCTCTAAAAGGAGATCTTGCAATTTCAAAGAAATCACCACAACCCATTTTTTTTGATTTGACGAAGAATATGTTTATGTTCATTTTTGGTCTGATTGGTCAAGTCTGATTTTTGGTTATTTTTGGTTATTTTATTCAAAGATAACACATTGAAAAGCGGCATTACTTTTTCAATTTTTCCCAGGAAAGGATGTTTACTTTGATCGATCTTCGAAACAGAGTGATTAGCATTACAAATGCTTTAGCAAGCATTTCTCTTAAAAAGAAAGTAGATTTTTCATAAATGCCTTCTTTTTGTCTTACTCAACTCAATCCAGGCAGAGCCATCCTCCTCGGCAAACATGTGAAGGAAAGTTCCTTTATGTAACCCTTAGTGGCAATCGCCATAGCTTAATTGGAATTTTCAGGCAAGCACGTTTCATTCCGTACGTGAGGCGGCCTTCGCCACAAACACACGTAATCACAGGGGCGATTACGTCACTTCAGGAGCAGCAGGTTATGACAAGCGTGGCGTCCTGTGCTTTCAGTTTATAACATGATGTCAGGAGTAAGAGGAGAACCTACAACAACCAAGACAAACATCGCTAACCTTACTAAAGCACTTGGGAACAAATCAATAAGACAACGGATCATTGTCAGTTTCTGAGCTACTAGGTTATTTGCTTTTTTATGACTATGCTGTTAAAGTAAGATGTTTGAGTTCAAATTGATATACAGAGCTATTTATAGCTCTTTGTTAAACTTTTTTACGGAAGTTATAATTCTGTCTAAAGTGCGGCATCCTACTTTGTTTCATAATTGAACGGATCAGACCGAAGAACTGGGAGTCGATTATTTTGAACTCGCCTTTTGAAGTTGGAAAACTCATTTGAATTACAAATGATTTTTAAAATTAATATTCATATTTGCGCTCAGTCTTGCACGTGGAAAGGAGCTTACGAACTACAAGAAATTTGAGCGTCCTCTTAGCTTCTAAGGAGTCAAGAAACTCGTCATTTCGACCCTATTATCTTGGATGTTGTCTGTTCTGTCCAGGTCGGCCAGTGTTTCTTGTGCTTGGTTAAGTGGTTCAGATACCATGTCAAGGATTAACACTTCTCTCTGTCACGACATTTCTTCAGGTAAATAGCCTCAGTTGGAAAGATATATTTGGATAGTAATTCAGTGTTAATCTTTGTTGTTGTGGCCCTCGTAACATTAATTTATAGAGTGAAATGTAGGAAGAAAAGGTAGAGTGCACATAGCACAGTGTAGGACAAATCCTCGGTGACAACCACCATGACAGTTCTTCTTGAACGAAACCTGAGTGCTAACGAGTGATTAACTTTATTGGGAGTGTAGTCGTCGCTAATTTACTTACTTCTTTTCATTCCTGGATATATTTTCAGCAATTTTCTATGATTAAGTGTGTTGACCTAAAGAGAGTTTTAATCGCATTTGTTCGTTCCATTACTCTCCAACACCGGCAAAGAAGGAGAAACTATGAGAGTAGTTATAAAAACGTTATAAGGTAGACTCCGTTTCTGGTTGCCAGAGAGTTGATTCCCATCTTTCACACAGAAGCTGCAGAGGACTGTAGTTGCTTTTATACTTTCTAATACTTTTGTCCAGTAAAAGCTCAGGACATTAAATGTCTTAGCAAAAATGTGGCGACTCTAAATCGGTTTTTCGATTCAGACGTTAGCATTTATTATTTAGCATGAAAAGCTCTCAGCTATGTGCGTACGCAAAATATATTTATCTCTTGTTTTCTCCATAGGACGGTAACAAGAGGAAAATGAGGAAGCCTCGAAAACAAGAAAGTTGAGGAAGGATAAAACTGATACATGAAAACTTATAACAAGGTTAGATCAATGGCTTTTAATAACAATTTAGCCATGTAGGCTTATTCGTTTGCGTTGAACGGTTTAACCTGGATTTACCAAATATTAACAATTCGAGACTAACTCAGCCAACAATGAAGAAAAATTTCAAATTAAGAAATTTATGTTTCTTCGCCGTGTGATTTCCTGGATCTCTATCTGATCGAGATAGCTTTCGGTTGTTCTCAGCAGTGTTCGTTTAATGAATTAATTCTGCCATGGATGCCCTTTTTTTAACTGTGTCACTAGTGTCAAATAAATACCTTTTCATCCGTTTACAAGTTGCGACTATCCATCTGTACCTGACTAAGTTACCATAGCAATGTTTTAGCATATCAAATAATATTCATGTTCTAAGATTAAAGAATAATTGTAAGAAATAACAACGATCCTAAATCTTTTTAAAGAGATTACTTACTAGCAAAATTCATACATCCAATACGGTATAGGTCTCTGGCCTAGAATGTTTCGTTTTTTTTCCCAGGGGCTCGTTCAAGACTTTGAATTTATCAATTATTGCATTTGAATTCCTCCTCGCATCAAAATGATTGTCTAAGTCTAGCCCCACTACACACAAAGATTACTACTTTTGTAACCTTGAAGTAAACGCATCACTGCCCTAGACCACAATGAGAAGACTTTAAAACTTTTTGGGGATGCTTCACTTTAGCAAGGCAATCTTTATCCAAGAGTAAACTGAAGAAAAAAAGGAGTCGTTAAAACAGATATTAGGATGAGAAATTGCGTTGCAAGGCATCCTGTTGCTTTTGGCATAAAAAACGCGTTCATTTGATGAGAAATTTCGGTCAACCTGACGCCTGAATGGCTCGGATAAACCCGATTTAAGATGCTGACAATCTTATATTTCTGAAACTAAGAAATTGAATGCTTTTCTAGATCTCAGATAGGAAAAAAAGGTATTTAGTATGCTGGCACAATTGTTATTATTTTATTTTTTCTTCCAGAATTCTTAAATTTTTTATAAGTTTAACGGTATTATAGTTTCTTACAAAGGTGAACCTTTTTCAATTTAAACAGTTAAACCCTTGGAGCCCAATTGTTATGAGGTAGAGTCGTGAACCAAATTCAGTGCACAATTAAAAAACCAATTATTTTTATGTCAAAGTTCCTCCTGCGATGTTCATCAAATTATAAAGAACTTTTTTTGATCTGATTCAAGACGGATCCTAGAGCTTAAGTACTACCTCTGTTTAGGCCCTATAGGCCAAAACAAATTATAATAGTATGCTCCAAAACTGGTTTTTCTTTCTCAAATTGCCCCTTGAATTTATCATCAAATGACGTAAACCTCTCTTCAATGGATCTCAATAACATTCCTACAGAGAGACTAATTTTAAAAATGTTTAAGCTCTTAGGGCTTAAAATAAATCGGAAAAGTATGTTCCATTCATTGATATTCGTTTCTCGAATTGTCTCCTAGGTTTATTATCAACTGATATACAATTTCATTTTAACAGGATTCATTGTAAATATTCGAGCCTAATAACTGAAGATGTTTGTGCTCTTAAGCAAGACTTCAACAAAATTAAACAGTATGCCCAAAAGTTGCTTTGGTTTCTCAAATTGCTTCTGGAGATTTTTATCATATGCATGATATAGTACTATAGTACTTTTTAACCTGACTCGATTAAAATCTTAAAACGTAATTTTTTTCAGTCAAAGCTTTTGAGCAGGGACCGCACAGAGGAAAGGGCTGGGGGGGGGGGCTTTAGCCTCCTCCTCCCCCCTCCCCCATG